AATCCTGGTTCTGATCTATTCGATCGGTGGTCGACTCGTTTTCTCCTATACGTGTCATTTGTTCCAAATACAGTAAATTCTCCCTAATTGACGCTCAGATTGTGCACAAAAATGGACAATTTGGTAAGAGGAGATACGGTCATTCGAGTCTTGTGGCTCGTTTTTATAGTTGTTTACAATCGGTCTAATCGTATCTCCCCTTTCTAAATTATCCATATTTTTGTACAATCTGAGCGTCAATTAGGGAGAATTTACCGTATTTGGAACAAATGACACGTATAGGAGAAAACGAGTCGACCACCGATCGAATAGATCAGGACCAGGATTGTAGTACATGACTGTAGTACACTGTATTACAAAATTACGTGCGGCCTTCTCTCACGTTTTGTATTAGAATTGCACTATAGCAGTCGGCACTTGCATCCGTATGTAGTTCTATAACCCCGTTAGGATCGAATGTGGTTTGTAGGGGAGGCCGTGGCATAGTGGGCATTGGGGCAAAATTTTTGTTGAACATTTATTTATAAAATGAAAATTTGTGTCGTAAAGTTATATATTAAATTGATCGATCAGTACATTGATAATTATATCCGTTAAACTATGATAATACTATTATTAGTTAAATAAATAAATTAATAAAGTGTCAACACCACCGATCGACAATTGTCAGAACACTAGTTCTATGGTAATCGCGACATCTCTTAATTTACTTGTGTACTGGATTTATATGTATTTTGATTTGAATGCCCTTGCGTTCGGGGCATTCGTGCGATGTATGTGTGCGTGCCTATAGCGGCTACATTGTATGTCCCGTGTGCTTGTCCTTCCTGTTGTACAGTACAGACTATTGAGGTGTAAACATGTGCCTATAAAGGATATATTATATAAAGCAGGTAAGGTATGTTTTTCACAACGCGTAGATAAATTATTTAACCAACCCTCCAACAATAATTTTCTAGAAATTGGAACTTGGATACTAATAAGTTGTTTATTTGAAATTTGATTGAAATCTTTATTTGTGTGTATTCATGATTTCTATAAATATTAATATTTTTGTTAACGATAATGTGTAAAATGTCTCCAAAACGATTAAATTAATCGATTAATGATAGACGTGTTATTCGGGATAAATTGAGCAGGACAAACTGAATTAATCATTTCAAATTTAAGACCGGCAGTGAAACACGGTGGTAGGAGTGTAATAGTGTGGAGTTATAGTTACAGTGCGATCTCGTCTGTAGGTGTAGGTGAACTAGTTTTTATCGATACGTACAGTTTTTAAGTTTTATCAGGACAGTGATCCTAAACACAAGGCCAGAATTGTACAGGAATATTTATTAAACAATTGTCCAAAAGTACTGCATTCTCCTCCTCAATCGTCTCATTTAAATCCAATTGAAAATTTATGGGATTAATTCGACCGCAAAATTCGTATAACACCTACAAAGACAACAACAAAGATAAAACAACGTTTGTTAGACGAATGGAAACGGATTTCGCCGGATTATTTAAATAAAGTCATCTGTAACATGCCCAAGCGATTACATGAAGTAATAAAACAAAAGGGTCAACCGACAAAATATTAATATTATGATAACACGATTAAAAAGATTTTCATTTTATATAAAATTAATGTAATTCATTCACTGTCCGAATATTTTTGCGACGTAGAATTTTGTCACAATCTTGTTTATCGCTTATCATACAAAAAACCATGTGGAATAAATAAACAAAATTTATGTTTCTACTTACTTTAAGAAGTGCTTTATTATATGAGAAAATTGATTCAATTGATTCGATGATACTATCTTAAACAATAAAAAGGAGCAATAATTCTTCTAACAATATGGTGTCCGAATATCAATGCGAGTCACTGTACATGGAATGACAAAAAAAAAAATAAAAAAACTCTCGTGTTTTAACTTTTTTACCTGAGTCTATAACGAAAATTTACAAAATGCCTTTCGTTGATCTCGGTAACCTATATGCGTGTTGAAAATTTGATCGAAATCAAATGGTGTGAAATCATGGTGTGAAAATCAATTATCAGTAATTTTCGAGGCAAATTTTTCAAAATATATATTTTTATAACATTTTTTACGCTGAATTTAAATTCGTAAAAATTGGTTTTATAAACAAATGTTTTATATGACAAAAGAAAACCTTATTTTCAAAAAAATTATCATGGTCTGAAATCCATAGCCTTATTTATTTCTTCAGTGTGGGGTACACACACTGTAGAAAAATTGCAGTTTGAAAACTTCAATTTTGTTAAAGTTATTACTTCTTTGTATCGAGATGTTACCTAAAACGTACTTGCTGCGTAATAATGCACCTTCTTCTTTCTGTAATGCTTGTTCTCTTAATACAATAAATTCTCTCCAATTGGTGACTATTAAAACGAGTCGCGAGGTTCGAATAATCATATCTCCTCTTTCGAAATTGTACATTTTTGTTCACAAGCTGAGGCACAATTGGACAGTATTTACTATAATTGTCCTGTTCGAATAATTTTTCTAGCACGTTTATAACGTTCAAAAGTTTGATTTTCATATCTGTGTATTCGTTTTCTATCACAATTTTGAAAAATATTCAATAATTGTGTGTTTATTTCTATTGCGTCATCTTGGAATGAGTTTAATATTATTTTCGTTCATCCATTGTTATGGTCATTGATAGCTTGTGCGACTGAAGATTCAACATGATGGTTTGAAGGAAATAAATCCTTCGGACACTTACCCCACATCATGCTGTGTAAACTTTCATTCGTATTTTAAGTTAAACATCTGCACAAACCATTCAACCAGTTGCTCATTATTTAGCCTATTATATATTGGCAATATTTCATTTAGGAATTCATATTTTATAGGTGTTCCTACATGTTTATCATACACAACTTTTATCAACTTTTACACATAACCATTTTCCGATACATAACTTTTATTTCTAACGGTGATAGCAAAACTAAACGATATCTAAATAATTCAGAAATATACGATAAATCTTCCCGCAATATGTCGTCACTTAGGGTAATGAAGCCGGTTACTGTGTGGTGACCAATTGCTGTGTCTTTGGTTTGTTTTCGGGCATAATTAATTTCATACAAATTTCTCGAATTAGGCATTTTAAGATTTTTTTATAGAAAAATAAACAAAATAAAAGAATAAGAAAATTTAATATCTCTTATTTCGTAGATATGAGATCAATTATGCCCAAAAACACACCAAAGGCATATCAATTGTACCACCCACAGTAACCGACTTCACTACCTTACTATTTACATTCATACTACGAGTTTCATCTCTGAAATAAATAGTTAATTTTTAGATCGCTAAATATAACACTTGATCTCAGAGGTACCTTTCAATGCAACTGTTTCGTCAACTTTTCCGTGGATGCCGCAGTTGTATAACCCATTGACAGAATGATAGCGTATTAACGAACAATCATGACCAGTATTTAATACGAATGTAATCGTTTTTCCCCGAATCGAAGTTGACATGGCTCGTATCAATTTACTGCAAACATTGACAGACTCTGTTACTTTGACGACTCTTTTTGAACACCAAGTTGAAATATGTTCTCTTTCGTTGCAAGCGTAGTATTTGACGTTATGCCACTTTGACATCGGTAATTCAGCAGTATTTTGATTTTGTTGCATTTCGGATCCCGCGCGTTTCTTTTGACGGTGTCCCAGTTTTTCCATAGTTACTGCAATATTCCAAAAATCTGTTTGCCCCATGGAAATTTTCTTCGACTTTTTTTTAAATTCTTTCTCTCATTTTCTTTTATTTTTTTCAGCTATCTCTGACAACTTCAAGATGGTTACAGATGTGATAAATGAAAGAAGAGTCAATTTTAATCCTCAATACGAGGATGACGTAACACTTTTACACATGGTTGCTAAATGTGGCAACTTAAAAGTAATGAAATATCTGCTGGATGAAAAACATATCAGTGTTGAAATTACAAATGATGAAGGTATGTCAGTCTTGCACACGGCTGTTCGCTATGGCAACTTGGAGATAGTTAAATTTTTGATAAATGAAAGAGCTGCCAATTTGAATGCTGTAGACAATGATGGCATGACAGTTTTGCACACGGCTGCTGCTAACCATAGTAACTTAGACATGGTTAAATATCTGATAAATGAACAAATGGCCGATGTGGATGATAGAAACAATGATGGCATGACAGTTTTGCACGTAGCTGTTAGCTCTAATAACTTGAATATGGCTAAATTTCTGATAGAGGAAAAACAGGCCGATGTTGAAGCTGTAGACAATAAGGGCATGACAGTTTTGCACACGGCTGCGAGCAATCAGCAGTGGGAGATATTTAAATATCTGATAAATGAAAGAGGAGCCGATGTTGATGTTACAGACATAAATGGCAGATCAATTTTGCACACGGCTGCTGCGCTTGGGGAGCTTGAGATAGTTAAATATCTGTTAAATGAATTAGGGTTCCACGTTGATACAGCTGACGATGATGGCAAAACAGCTTTGCACGTGGCTGCTATTTCAGATCACTTGGAGGTAATGAAATATCTTATAAAAGAAAAACAGGCCGATTGTAATGCTAAAGACAATTATGGCTCAACCGTTTTGCACACGTCTGCGACCTTTGGTGAGGTGTACACTCTTCAATTTTTGATAGATGAAATAGGGCTCGATATTGAATCTACAAACGATGATGGAATGACGGTTTTACACACGGCCGTTACCAATGATGACGTGGATGTAGTTGAATTTCTGGTAGATGATAAACATGCCGATTATAATATTAAAGACAATAATGGTTTCACAGTTTTGCACACAGCTGTTACCTATGGTAACGTAGAAGCAATGAAATTTCTTTTGGACGGACACGAGATCGATGTAGAAGCTAAAAACGATGATGGCATGACAGTTTTGCTCACGGCTGCTATATGTAATAACTTGGAGATGCTTCAATATCTGGCACATGAAGCAGGTGCGGATTTTTATACTACAGACAATAATGGAATGACACCTTTACACGCGGCAGCTGCCTGTGGTAACATGAAAATGGCTCACTTTCTGGTGAGTGATACAGAGATCGATATAGAAGTTACGAACCATGACGGCATGACAGCTTTGCACACGGCTGCTCTCTGTGGTCACTTGGAGATAGTTGAATTTCTGATAAATGAAGAAGATGCCGATTTCAATGCTGCAGACAATAATGGCATGACACCTTTGCACGGGGCTGCTACCTGTGGTAACTTGAACATGGTTCAATTTCTGGTGGATGAAAAGGGGGCCGATTGTGAAGCTAGAACCAAGGATGGCATGACAGTTTTGCACTCGGCTGCTATAAACGGTAACTTTGAGATAGTTAAGTTTTTGGTAAATGAACAAGATGCCAATTTTAATGCTGTAGACAATAGTGGCATGACAGTTGTGCACGCGGCTGCTAGCTGTGGTAACTTGGAGATGATTAAATTTCTGGTGGATGAAAACAAGGCCTATTTTGAAATTAAAAACCATGATGGCATGACAGTTTTGCACGCGGCTATTATGTGTGGCCACGTGGAGATAGTTAAATATCTGATATATGAAAAATATGCCGATATTAATACTAGAGACAATAATGGTATGACAATTTTGCACGCGGCCGCTACCTGTGGTAAATTGCCCATGTTTAAATTTCTGGTCGAAGGTAAACATGCCAATTTCAATGTTGAAGATAATGATGGCTTAACAGTTTTGCATACGGCTGCTGCCTGTGGTAATTTAGATATAGTTAGATATCTGGTGGATGAGATAGGCATTGATTTCAATCTTAAATTCCGTGAAGGCATTTCGGTTTTGCACGTGTCTGCTTCTACCTATGGTAACTTAAACGTTGTTAAATATCTGATAAATGAAAAAATGGTCGATGTGAATGTTAGAGACTATTCTGGCATGACAGTTTTGCACATGGCTGCCAACTCTGGTAACTTGGATATAGTTAAATTTCTGATACTTGAAATGGGGGTCAATGTTTCTGTTAGAGACAATTATGGAAGCACACCCTTGCACGTGGCTGCCGTTTCCGGTAAAATAGAAGTAATTAAATTTCTGCTATATTGTAACAGGTTGATTTACAAGCGAAAAATGGCGGAGTTTGGATAGTTTCACACGCGGCGCTGCCGATTCTGTTAACTTAGTGATGGTTCAATTTCTGACAAATGAAAAAGACGATTTTAATGCTGAAGGCAATTATGAAAAAATAGTTTTGTGCATGCCTGCTCTTACTAGTAAGTTGGAGATAGTTAAATCTCTGATAAATGAAGAAGCGGTCGATTTTAATGCTACGGACAATAATGTCATGACAGTTTTGCACATGGTTACTGCTAACCATGGTAACTTGGACGTGGTATAATTTCTGATAAATGAAAGAATGGCTGATTTTAATGTTAAAGACAATAGTAGCAAAACAGATTTGCACACGGCTGCTGTCTCTGGTAACTTGGAGATGGTTAAATTTCTGATAAATGAAAGAAAGGCCAATTTTAACGCTAAAGACAACGATGGCAGAACCGTTTTGTATATAGCTGATGTATGTGGTCATGTGTTTGAATTCCTGAAAAATATAGAAATTGTCGCCCCCTGGAGAAGCTTTAGCATCGTTAGCTAGTTCAGCATGTATTTGTAAGCTGAGCGATACCAGCAGTTCTATTTCACACTCTCGTTAGAAGCGAGCCACATGGTGTTGTGTGAGAAAGAAGGGGAAGCATGCAAGCAAAATGTTATGAAGACAGAAAAGGGGCATGCAATAAATGTGATTCTTTTTAATAAGTCTGTAATTATAATAATAATTGTTATAATAATTAAATATGTTGTTTTAAGCGATACATTGTGTATACAGAAGGACCATCATTTCTGAGTTATTTCTAAAATGAAGTGTTTTGTGTAGAAATTAAGATCCTGACTTTTTAAAATTGACTTCACAATGTCGTGGCTGAGTGAAATACCTCAATTTACCTTTAAATGACTTTAAATTCAGAATCTCAGATACGATGTTTAGCAGTCAAATTATTAAATAATTTTTTATATTATCGTTTTTTTAAAGCGGACCCATATTTCTGAACACAAGGTGATGTGAAGTTCAAAATATATGCCATATAACTAAAGTCAGTCTTTCCCTAATTTTTTTCAGGGAAAACAGTTCGATTTGTATTGAAAACATTTCGTCCTGAATTATTGGAAATGTTTAAAAATGGGGGTTTATCTTAATAGATAAATCCTGCATTTGGCCTCATGATTTTAATTTTGAAATAAATCTGAAAATGTATTCTATCTCGTTAGTTTTAATTTTTGTTTTATTTTGGCATATACAAAATGACTTTCTAATATATTCATACGAGTGCTCGTGTGCTCGGTTACCATAATTTCTTTAATCATTTTTATATTTTCCTCAAAACATTACACAAACTTTTTTCAAAATTTCTAGTTTCGATGTAAAGATTTATGTAAAAAATTTAAAATATCAAAACTTTAAAGTTACTTTCGCTTGTTTGACAACATAACAACGAAATTAGGTCGCTCAAATATTTGGAAAAATGAACATTGCAGGAGAAAATATTCCGATGATATACAGTTTACATTAATGTCAAGGGATTCGTCTTGAAACATGTTGCGAAGATCATATTAAGATTTTTAAATGCAAGCTTCCACTTTTTGTTATACAGGAAGAGACACGAAAAACGGAATATGTACTTGAATTTTTCTGTTCGTATCAAACATAAAGGAATGTTTTGCAAATGGTGTTGGTCTTGATACATGTTATCAATACTTTCAAAATTTGATCTATAAAATTACTAGTGGCTGCTCTTTGCCTCGCTGTCCTGCCTTAAGGCATCTTTTTCAACCTTTTCTTGTATCTTGATGAAAGATGTTGCCAAATCTCCATAATAATTTAGTAGAGTAGTGTTACTATGAATGAAGCAGAACCGGGCTTCGGAGTCGCCCGTTGGCTCGGCCGCTTCGCGCCAGCTGAGCTGACTCATTGGTCACTGTTTTTCGTTAATAACTCGTAAACAAAGCCGTGGATTGCATTTTTGTTAAGGAAAAAGTTACTTCAAATGACTTCAGGAATCACCCCTTTCCGACTGTTAACATAATTATAGGACACCCTGTATAAAGTGTTACTGAAGTGGTCCCACGAAGATGGGTGGTGAAGAAACAAATTTTATGTGCCCAGCGTATGAAAAAAAACAAAGAAAAATAAATTTCGTGGAAAAGCCTAACTAGGTTTCATATTAGTAACCTGTTTCTCAAATCTGTGAATTTTCGTATTCTTATTTTTTTCGTTATTACGGAGAAGTGGAATTTTTTCCTGTATATTCCAGCAGATATTTCCAAACGAATGCATACTTTAGTTTCTGAACGCGTATCTAGTTCTAATAATAATGTGTTTCTGATTAAAAATTATGATTTAAAATAAATATGGATCTCATATTAGGCACCTTTATCCTATAATTAGGCAAGTACAAGTAGATCCCAAAAATGGCAAGGGAAAACTACAATTTTTACCATTTCAATTAGAAGCATGATCCTATCCAGTTATATACATTGAACAATTGGATAAAACAAATCTTTTGTAGCCCTCGTTTATTTTGCACGATGGCATTTTATGAAAAATTTTAATTTATATAATCACTAATATTAATAAATCTAGTTACAATACCGTAGTTTGAATGTTTTAATTCTTAAACTGTAAACGTGGGTACTTTGTGTTCCGACTAGTTCGTACGAATTTGATTTCTCGCAATCTAATCGGCAGAAAATATTTTTTGCGTAAATAAAGTTATTAAATAGGTGAATTTAAGGGTACAAGGGTATAGTTGTCTGAAGATGTCTCATGCATTTTTGAGACCTTTTTCAATAGTGTTATATTTGTTACGAAAGAGCCACGTTTATAGTTTAAGAGTTATGTTAATCAATATAATAGTTACTGTAAATTAATTCTGATTTATTAGTGTTCCCAGTGTATGGCATTCATTAATTGTGTTTTAGAAAAACAGTTGAAATACCTGCAACGAAGGGTGTTTAATCACGAATCGTTCTGTTAGCTTTTAATTTTTGTAATTTTCAAAGTGATGGGATGAGTTGGAACTAATAAAAAGGCGCGCGGATTGAATTTACATGGGAAGACAGTATTCTCGCAGGTATCAACTTTATAGTTACGAATTGTCTTAATAATCCCAATTTTCGTTTGGAAGATTGCGAATCGTGCACCTGTAAACAAATAGAAACTATTAAGAATTTAATAATTAATTCAGGCGTGAACACACTGGGTTTTACCATTCTTGATATTTTGAGGCACAGATCTTTGAATGGATTATTAAATATGTTTATTAGTACTTTTTGCGGTATGAAATTGATCGATAGATTGGACCGTGTTACAAAATTACTAATATCATTAGAAAAGATGAAATGAAATAAAATTTTTAGATACGAAAATTATGTGTTCTTTGCTTTCAACTGAAAGAGCTGCTAATCACGTTTGTGTCGCACAAGAGTTTTGACATCTCCGAAACTAATAAACACGATCACTACCCACATTTTAATCCGGATTATTTAGTTCTTCTAATTTCACAATTAAAATTGTTAATTCGAATTAATGCACGTGATCAACTTATATTCCTTCGATTTGAAATCTTACTTAATCCCCTGGCTATTAAACTATTAAACATTGTTTGTGTGGTCACTAGTAGAAAACGTTGAATGCATTAAAAATAAAAAATAAAAAAATAACTGTCTGACACATCGAAAATAAACAAGAACAGTTTCTAACGTACCGATGCAATTCCTTGGTCCATCGCCAAATGGTAAATAATGCATTGGATGTCTCTTCGACTCCGCGTCACCCATAAATCGAGTAATATCGAAAACTTCTGGATTAGGGTAAATGTCTGGATCGTGTTGTATTCCATACACGGGTATAAACACACCTGTATTTTTCGGGATCGAAAATTTCAAGTCTTCAAAAGTGTAGTCATCGACTGACTTTCTGCTAAGAAATGGCAGTGCTGGGTACTTTCTCAGCGTCTCTGTAACAATGAAGAACATAATAAGAAAATTCATTATTTGTTGCGGCACGTGTTTGAGTCTACAACATGGTCAAATCTCGACAGTGCCGTTCCGAAGGATGCCTAAACTTCTTTGATTGACATTTCAAAACTTTTGCAATCCAATAGTACATATACAGTGAAAAGCAATAACGCTTATCATTGGTTTGCTGCATTTTTTTTATTCCTGACAGTTAGGAAGAGCTGTTAACCATATCGATGACTCCCATTTCAAGGACTGGATTAGGTTAACAACTTTAAGAAATGGAGATGATCTTGAAATATCCTAGAATCGCGTTTTTTATTTATAATGCAGCACTATGGTACACAATCCGGAAGAATTCAACGACCTCTGACACTTTGACCTTTAAATGATATTTAAAAACTACTTATAAACACGCTATATGCTATCATCTTTTGAAGAGATAAATTTTGAACTGCTTTGAATGGAACTCGATATATAACAATATCGAATTACCATTGCGAAATGATTTAAAACTTATTATTAGACTGGACATTTTATGTACTTATGTCAAAAATGGGAAGGCGTAATTTAAAACGGTAAAATACAAATAAAATTGAAGACTGTTGATGTGTGACATTCATTTTAATGGAATGGAACGAAACTGTGTAGCTTCTGTTTCTTAAAATCGATTGTGACAACTTTGACTCTGCATAAAGATCCGCGTTAACGACCATATCTTGACAAAAAAATTATTAGACGTATAATGTTCAGAGTACAGAGATTATCTAACTCCAAAACATTTTGCAGTCTGATAATTGGTATTTGAGAAATTATATACATCGACTATAGTTGTACATTCCTAGGCCTTTCTGCGTCGCGTCATAACTGTACCAATTTTCAACATACTGAAAATTATTTACTTTAAAGTACCTATAAATGTATCCCGAATTGTCTATGTGAGATGAATTAGTAAGATTATCAAAACATATCAAAGCAGTACAAATTAAAAGAAACTATTGATTTTTCCCATTCAAAGCCACTATATAGTACAGACAGCATATCGTTAACGACAGTGGATATTGTAAGCCTACACGTTGAAGAATGCATAATAGAAACGTTTTACAGAATAGTAATGCAATTTTCATAGAACTCATATTACACAATTTTTGTCACACGAACATTGCGCAAGCAACAAAGAATTTTAATATGCAATTATTGAGAATTTCTATTGAACATTCTATTGCGATACAAACCTTTAAATACGGCATCCAAAATGGGCATGGCTTTTATATTTTCAAAGTGCCATTCTCCGTTATTGAGTTTATGATGTTCCTTGATTTCTTCCCGTAACTTGTCCTGTATGTCCTGATTCAATGCCATTTCGAGAAGTGCGTTACTGATCGTTGCTGACGCAGAATGAAAACCAGCAACAAAGAAGATCAATGCTTGCGCTGTGAGTAGTCCGTCCGTTAAATCTAGGAAAAAGGCAGTTCATTCAAAAGTTCCATAAAATAGTTTCATATAGAAATTTACCATCATCGCGCATACTATATCATTGAAGTAATATCAACTCAATGAAAGGTATTTAGTGTCAAGGGAAGCACACACGTTGTAATAATTAGATTTAGCTATTTCAATGTTTCATTCGTTTCATATCGCAACAAAATCTGGAGAAAGTGTAAACGCATTGAGCAAACATCTATACAGGGTAATCCAGAAATGTTCCTGCGGTGATTTGAAGCAACTTTCTTCTTAGCGAAAATGATCTTCGCGACTTTGTTAACGAGTCATTAACGAATAACAAAGACCAATCAGAGATTAAATATGGCTGGCGTATTCCGACGCAGCCAATGCGGTGTCGCGCTTGCTATTGTGGGGACGGGGCATTAAACAGCTCGCTGTCTTATTGGTTCGTGTTTTTCGTTAATAACTCATTAACAGAACTACGGAGAACATTTTCGCTAAGGAAAATGTTCCTTCAAATTACCTCAGGAATCGCCCTTTTCATAGGTGTAACGATAACGCGACATATACTGCAACAACAGCCTCATCTAAGTTGACAACAAGAAGACAAGTCAAAGATCACAGAGACTCGTACTTTTTACACCATCGAGTACTCTTTTTATGTTACACATAACTACGCGCAATTCTAAATATCATACCAAACAGTACCGTGCTAATTCATTAAAACTAAATTCATTAATTAAATCTAGTTTGTTGTTAGTAACTACGAGGGCATACAACATATTTGGAACATTAATATCGGAATAAACAGTTCAGGAGTGGTCCTTTGTATTCCCAAAACTTTCTCCCTATGAAATTGTTGCCTTCAAAACTTTTATCTTTAGATTATCGAGCAATAATTTCTATTATTCGCCAACATATTGCCTGCCACAGAGACTTTCGAAACAACTGTGATATCACTGCGTTGCCAGAAACATCGACGGTGGGAGTAGTCGAGCGTCGACCATTTGTAGGCAACAGTTGCAAAGCTTGTTTTGGTGTTTTCAGCATTGCATAATACAATTAGCAATGTTATTAGTATCGCATACATACCGATGTCACCCAGCTTCTCAGGATGCTCCCGGATGTCCATCAAAGTGTTGATGAAATCGTTTCTGACGATATTATTCTTCTTTCTGTACTCTATCATGTTCAGAACACTATCCATAAAGAAGTCGGTGCCAAAGGGACGCGGTAGGACGCGGGCAAACAGGGTGTAGAACCCTGGTGCAATTTCTCGTATTCTAGCTCTTATCACACGCATAAGGGAAGTAGCTAAAAATTGTTTCCCCACTTTACGAAATTCCGATTCCATGTCCGACGAACAATTCATATTAATTCCGAAAGCACAGGTGCCAATAACGTCCGTAGTGAATCTTGATGTCAAGTCACGACAATCAACGGGATCGCCTTTTACTGCCACTGCCTCCAAATGTTCCTCAAGGCTTTTACTGCAATCGATGATCATGAAGAACATTTCCTTCAGTCTGCCGGACGTAAAAACCGGCGATAGCCTTGCTCTCAACGGTCGCCATCTTTCCGGCTCCAGAGCAAACAAGTGCTGCGAAAGTGGTTCCGCCTGCGTTGAGAAAACCGAGTATATAATGTCAGTTTTGAAGTATACCTACATCNTGTCCATCAAAGTGTTGATGAAATCGTTTCTGACGATATTATTCTTCTTTCTGTACTCTATCATGTTCAGAACACTGTCCATAAAGAAGTCGGTGCCAAAGGGACGCGGTAGGACGCGGGCAAACAGGGTGTAGAACCCTGGTGCAATTTCTCGTATTCTAGCTCTTATCACACGCATAAGGGAAGTAGCTAAAAATTGTTTCCCCACTTTACGAAATTCCGATTCCATGTCCGACGAACAATTCATATTAATTCCGAAAGCACAGGTGCCAATAACGTCCGTAGTGAATCTTGATGTCAAGTCACGACAATCAACGGGATCGCCTTTTACTGCCACTGCCTCCAAATGTTCCTCAAGGCTTTTACTGCAATCGATGATCATGAAGAACATTTCCTTCAGTCTGCCGGACGTAAAAACCGGCGATAGCCTTGCTCTCAACGGTCGCCATCTTTCCGGCTCCAGAGCAAACAAGTGCTGCGAAAGTGGTTCCGCCTGCGTTGAGAAAACCGAGTATATAATGTCAGTTTTGAAGTATACCTACATCGCCGAAATTGAAATAACAACAGATTCGTATTAATTAACGCATTAACGCGTTAATCACGCGAGTTAAATAACTCACGGTATATTTGGCCAAGAAGTCACGTGAATTAAATGTAATTACAATTGTAAAGCAATAAGTCTAGTTTTCTTGCACCACAAGATTCCCGAATATATGAAGCAATTTCTTAAAAAGTTTAATAATTGAATAATTATATAAATTAAATGTGTGTACCCACCTTTTCATTGACAGTTATCCCACGATTTGAAAATTTCGCGAAGTCTTTTATAAGTATTGTCTTGATTAATTCAGGATCGTTTATAATCAATATAGGTTCTCTTCTTGCGAATAGGCCAAGTACGGGATTAGATTTATATTTTTTGTACATTTCGCGCAGAAGTTGACCCATTGATAGCTGGGAGAACATCACTCTGGTAACGTTACCAAAAAATGGTGTCGGTTCCGGTCCAGCAACTCCGCGTTTTTTCCAAAAGTTGTGAGTTGAGATGGAATAGTAGTAAAGTAGGAGAAGTACCGCGACGATGCCACAAAAAATTTCGATGCCAGTCATTTTTGACTAATTTTGTTTAACTCCTCAGCAGGCGGGAAAAAATTAATAATGAACTGCCACAGAAAAAAAGAACAGATTAAAACAAATTATGTCCTTTATATTACTTAATTTTACATCATTACACTAACTATAAATAATCATTATTATGATACAGAGAATTTTTTAAATTGTCAAAATATTACTATGACCTCAGATTTCGCTTTTTCCGTAAAATATAAACAATGCTAAAACTCCGACTTTCCTGATATTTAATTGTTTGTATCTGATAACAACGTCAACCGATTTCGATAAAATTTTCAACACGCATATAAGTTATCGTGATCTGCAAAACGCATTTTCTAAATTTTCCTTATAGGTTTAGATAAAAAAGTTAAAAAACGTCAATCAGCCCAAGTAATAGCGAAATTTATAAATTGAAGCCTTTTAGTTCAGTTTTAAATAAGTTGTGCCGTTGTTTCAAAAGGCGTCCATATATATATTTGTTCCCCACTACATGTTCTAACACATAACAAAAACATATATTTCATAAAACCAAACATGTCGTAAGTATGACAAGAGAATATTATAAGTTAAGATTGAAATGCGACTTAATATTTATTAAATAAATTAATAAACTTTAATATTTATTAAATAAATTAGAAACCTCAAAATTTATATAGTTTAAGAATTGTAGAAACTAATGCTGTACTTACTGTTATTAATTTCCCAAATGAAAATTCAAAACAAATCTACGAGACGCCAGTGGAGTATCGAAATTACGACATCGCAAATTTGGCGCTCTGCAATTTAAAGAATAACGAGTGTACAGGTCTATGGTTGCTTGCGAAATGATGCGAGGACTGTTTGATCGAACATCAGACAACACCAACTCACTCGCATTTTATATAAGAAAAACAGTGTTTTACTCTACTCTCCCCTACGTAATTATCTTTAAAATTCGTTACTTTTTTAACGAAGATCTTGCGATATCATTAGGTATATATTTGTAAATTATCATTTAATTACTGTTAGCGCATCCACTTGAAGCAGTACACAATCCTCTTTGATCTGGAGACAGTAAAGGCAAACTTAAAACAGATAAGAACTGTGCATACGAATATGTATATTGTAGATGTCAACTGTACAGTGATTTTCCGACTCAGGCTTGTGTGTACAACCTCATACGGTGAATTACGAAGATATTCACAAGTCGAAATAACATAGGATTACAATTTTTCTTTAGATGTTATAGAAAGAAATTTACCGAACAATGTTCAAACAAATTTTTGCACAAAAGGATGTGACAGGAAGAGATAGAAATATTGTATTTTTTAACCCTTCTTTCTGAATCTATAACAAAAATTTAAACGATGTGTTTCGCAGGTTTCGTGATTTATATGCATTTATATGCATTGCTCTACAGCTTGTAAACAACAAAATAGTTATTCGAGCATCGTGGGCATATTTACCGTTGCCGATTGTCAATAACTATAAAAACGAGCCGCAAAGGTCGAACAATCGTATCTCCTCATCCCAAATTGTCCATTTTTGTTTAGAAACTGAGGGACAATTAGAGAGAATTTACTGCACTGACAAACAGGAGAGAATAAGACGCTATTTCCACTGATAGTATTCGACACCTCAAACGAAGACGATTTCAAATACACACACAAACCAATAAGGATATTCTGATTGTAACTATAATAACCAATAATGACCATATAGACGACGAATTTAACACAACCAAAAGCTACAGAACGCGATATATCTCGAAGACGAACAGAACACGATAAATAGCGAAAGCGACTTGAGAATTCTTTGAAAAGAATTTGAGAAATCACGAAACAGTAAAGAACATTACGATCTACCACGAATCTGTACTACCTCTGTTAAGTTCCAAATATAGTCGATCCACCATTAACTCAAGCATTTAAATTCTTTTGAGCGAGACGTTGTTAATACCCACCTTTCTTAATATCGCCGCAAGCAAGCGAAGCGAGATTTATGAATGCGCTAATTTACAATATTTGAGGAGACCGCAACAATCTTATTACAAGCTTATAGATTACAACGATTGCAGTGACGCTGCAAGTATTAAATGTTGATAATGTAGAAAGTCTTTCGAACAGGTAATCATCTTTCACTACCGGTAATGTGTAGCGAGAATGAGTACGAAATTTTTGTGTATATTGGACTCAATTTAACCTTGACCTTGACATATGTTGTCAAGGTCATTCTCCTGAGTACCGTCAGGAAGTTTTAGTCGTCGCTCGCTATTTATTAAATAGTTATTAACAAAATTATATCAATGCTACCACGTTGCAATTCGTCTGTACGTATACAGGGTGACTCTCTATTAATGTCCAAGAAAATATCTCGTGAATAGGTAAAGGTATAACAGAGTTTAATAGGAGAAATTGACAAGGTTTTTAAGTCAGCTGCAAGGTGCACGTAAATCATTCTTTTTTATTGGTTCCTTCCCGAATTATAAAGGTCAACTTTGTTTTGCTTTTTTTAACGAATACATATAATTTTCTTTGCATGTTCAGTTAGTTAAGGTCATTTGCAATCTCCTAATAATCAGCATTAATAATCAGCTCGACACTGGGTATACAGGTATCCTTGCATCTATCGTTTTGCTTTTTTTTTACGTCGAGAATCTTAATTGATATATTATGCAGTATCAGCACGATAAGCAGTTTCTTATGTAATCAGTCAATTTTTCGGGCAAGACTAAGATGAAGAGTTTTGCGAATTCATTCATAAGACTCTCAATTCGGAATACGCAACAATCATTTCACTCATTACCTGGCAGATTTCAATTTTTATTGAAAAAGTCATACACGACTTCCACGAACACATTGACGCCTTTTTTGTTATTATAAGATTATTGTATTCGTTAGAACACTTAAATACTGAATAAAGTAGAAACTCACCGACAAACTTACAAAGTCTTCTTTTGCGATTATTTCGGAAGCTAAAGCCGTTAGATATTAATATCTTCATATACAAGAAACGTTTATTATTCAACAATATAAAAAACAGAAATTTTGTAAATTATATTTTTAAATTATGTCTTATTTTGATAAGAACGTAATATATAGTTCTAATTCATATTAATGTTTTTACTTACACTAACAAATTTTTTAAGCACTTTTGATAGCCAGATAAAAAAATTTATCGAATGAAAGTTAATCTGTATTTAGTCCGTTATACATTGAAAAATAACAAATTTCAAGACCTATTGTCTTTCGACTAAAATTCAAGATTATCTTGACTTTTCGAAGTGACACCCTGTATTTTTGCCTACCATACTATGTATGACCTTCGGATTACCTGATATATGATATGACCTTCCGAAAATATCCGACTTCTGTCGATTTAGATATGCGACTGCTTGTAGATGCAGGAATGAGAAGGAAAAGGTGTACAATTTTTACCATTCTGGATAGAACAAATCTTTTGTATTTTTCGTTAATCTTGCATAATGACACTTTATGAAAAATTTTAGTTTTTATACTTACTAATAATAATACATTTCGTTTCGTGTAACTCGCTTATAATATTTTCAGTACGGTATTCGTAAACTGTTATATATGCTAGAAAATCAGTTGAACACAGAAGACCCTCGTTTATAGTTTAAGATAAGCGTGAGGTGTTAATCAACACAATAGTTACTATAAATTAATTTTGATATATTAATATTTGAATGTATCACAGTTATTTTTTGTGCTTTAAGGACACTTAAAATACCTGAAATGTATCAAATAAAGAATTGTTCTTTTAATTTTCAACTTTTGTTACTTTCAAAGTGATGGGATGGTTTGGAGCTAATAAAAAGGTTCGTGGATTAACTTCATATGGGATGACAGTTTTCTCGCAGATATCAACTTTATAGTTACGAAGTATCTTTATAAGCCCAATTCTCGTTTGGAAGACTGCGAATCGTGCACCTGTGAACAAACAGAAGCTATTAAGAGATTCCATTATATATAATAATAAAGTATAACATTAAAATATCAAAGCTGTACTGGTAATTCGAATTTCCACTGTTAGATTTTATTCCAACTTCTCCAGTAGCAAATTTAAAATTAAAAAATAACCGTGTGACGCGTCCAAAATAAACAATGACAGTTTCTTACGTACCAATGCAATTCCTTGGGCCATCGCCAAATGGTAAATAGTGCATTGGATGTCTCTTCGACTCTGCGTCACCCATAAATCGACTAATGTCAAAAGTTTCAGGATTTGCATAAATGTCCGGATCGTAGTGTATTCCATACAAGGGTATAAACACAGATACACCTTTTGGAATCGAAAATTTCAAGTCTGCAAAAGTATAGTCGTCGACTGATTTCCTAGTAATAAATGGCACTGGTGGGTACATTCTCAGCGTTTCTGTAACAGTGAAGAACATAATAGGAAAATTCTACAATTCTATTCCTAAAAATATTAAAATTTCGTTTCCAACCTTTCACCATACAGTTGGGCAACTACAGTGTAAATCAGTAATGTTTATCACTTTGATGAAACCTCATGGTCATCACTATTTTTCTAAATGGTTTGCGGTATTCTTCTATTCCTGACAGTTAAGGAACTCTATTAACGATATCGATGACTTCTATTTCGAGGTTAGCAAGTTTATGAAATGAAGGAGATCTTAAAATTTCTTAAATGCTTGCACCTACAAAATAATTATTATTTCCACATTATTGCCCCCTTTACAACATGTAAACTTTCATACACAAATTTTTGCAATACTTTTAAAAATAGCAAAGATATTCAAGGTGATTAAATTTGTTTCTTCACATTGTAGAGTGGGCGATATTTGGAAAGTGTCCTAGATCCTAGATGTATCATTTTCAGAACGGTGCAGCAGTACTAGAATCTTAAAAAATCCATACTTTTTATAGTTTATTTCAAAAGCTGCGTTCTTTGTGAACATTTGACAATGTTGGCAAATAAATGTTGTGTCAATATTTGCATAATTAAACAAGTTTTGACATTAAACAATTACAGAATCTCCCTTAATTGTCAGTATAGAGATTATCCTACCCCAAAGCAATTTGCAGTTAGACAATTTAATATCTGTGAAGTTATGCATATCGGCTGCGTTTGTACACATCCCAGGACTTTCTGTGTCGCTCCATAACTGTATCCATTTCCAAAATTCTAACAATTCTTTATAAATGTATCAAGAATGAACCATGTGTTAGTTAAATGAATTAGTATGATAATCAACATGTATCAAAGCTGTACGGTACAATCTGTATCCCGTTAACGACAGTGAATATTATAAGACTACACGTTCAAAAATGCTTGAATAATGAAAATGTTTTACAGAAGAGTGCTGCAACTTTTGTAGAGCTTACATTAACATAATTTTTCTGTTAGACGTTCTGTTACGATACAAACCTTTAAATACGCCATCTAGAATTGGCATAGCTTTTATATTTTCATAGTGCCATTCTCCGTTATTAATCTCGTGATGTTCCTTGATCTCGCTCCGCAATTTGTCTTGTATATCCTGATTCAAGGCCAGTTCATAAAGTGCGTTACTGATTGTTGATGATGAAGTTTCAAAACCAGCAATGAAGAAGACGAATGCTTGCGCAGCGAGTAGAGAATCCGTTAATTCTGGAAAACAACCGAAGTTTCGCATTAGCTACTTCATAATTGCTACTTTAATGAAATTATTTAACGAAAACAGTTGATTCGATTAAATTTCCATAGAAAAGTTTTCTATCGAAGTTTACCATCATCGCGCATGCTGTAACATTCAAGAAATATCGACTGCAACAATGCAGGATGAATTGCATAAATTTGCCTTCAATGAAAGTTGTTTAGTGTCAAGAGAAGCATGGGATGTAATAATTCGTCTTTTGCTATTTTATCGTTTTATTCAAATACGAAGATCATTCGAATTTTTCTAATCACGTAGAAAAATATTGTAATCAAAGTGGTGACAAGAACTGAAAAAATTGTAAGCGCATTTAACTAACGTCTATACAGTTTGGTCTCGAAAATTTTGTAGGAATTTTAAAAGATCTGAGGCGATTTCATGTAATTTTGTCCTTAGCGGAAATGTTCTCCGTAGCATTATTAACGATTTTTTAATGACAAACACACACCATTCAGAAATCGGATACGGTAAGGCATTTTTCGGCGTAGTCACACCCTGATTGGTTCGTGTTTTTCATTAATAAGTCATTAACAAAACCGCTGAGAACAATTTTCACTAAGGAAGAAAAGTCTTCAAATAATCTCAGATGTCGCCCCTTTTAAGGGTGTAACGGACATGCGACAAATATCGAAACGACAACCCCATCCAACGAGATAGCAAGAAGACGAGTCGAAGAACAGAAAAGCTCGTACCGTGCTGAGATCACGAGACAGACCCTGGCTGGAACATGGTGATGTATGATAACAAAGCGGATTGGATTAATCAGAATCGGAGCGTACCTCCCAATCTCACACGCATTTTCAAATATAGTGGAAGCGGTCACACGTGGCGTGTACAAGTGAGAGTAGCGGCTTCGAACATCGGCAGCTTATAAGCAACAGTTGCAAAGCTTGTGTTTTCACCATTGTATAGTGCAATTAGCAGTGACATTAATATCGCATACATACCGATGTCACCCAGCTTCTCAGGATGATCCCGGATGTCCATCAAAGTGTTGATGAAATCGTTTCTGACGATATTATTCTTCTTTCTGTACTCTATCATGTTCAGAACACTATCGATAAAGAAGTCAGTTCCATAGGGATGCGGTAATATGCGTCCAAGCAAGGTGTACAACTGTGGCGTAATTTCTCGTAGTCTACCTCTTATCAATCGCATATACGAGTTAGTGAAGAATTCTTTTCCCACTTTACGAAATGTCGATTCCTCGTTCGACATACAGTTCATGTCAATTCCAAAGGCACAGCTTCCAATAACGTTCATAGTGTATCTGGCTGCCAAATCTCGGCAATCGATAGGATCACATTTTACTGCCACTTTCTCCAAATGTTTCTCAAGATTATTTGCGCAATCGACGATCATGAAGAACATTTCCTTCAGTCTGCCAGACGTGAATAATGGCGAGAGTCTCGTTCTCAACGGTCGCCATCTTTCTGGTTCCAGAGCAAACAAGTGCTGCGTAAGTGGTTCCGCCTGCGTCGAGAGATCCGAGTATTTAATGACAGTTTTAAATTGCCCATATCGCCGAAATTGAAATGAGATGTACGACAGATAAGGCACGTGTTGAACGCTGCGTGAGTTAGATACCTCACGCTATGATTAGTTAAGAAGTCGCATCAATTAAATGTAACTACAATTGTGTGCTTTTCTCTACCTTTTCTGACTTGGGTACACTTCACGTTTCCTACATAATATAAATTCAAAACGTTAGAAATCTAATTATATGATAAGATATATGGTCCCAAAAATCTGTCATCTTTTCCAACTTTGCCGTTTAAAGGTCCATTTATCCAGACCAACTCCGGAATGAATCCGAACCGATTATAGCTAACATCGAATAAAATGTATTTTTAACATAGAGGTAATAGAATTGATAACGATTTCTACTATTCTCTTCGCAATTCCGACCAAATATAACTTTTTCAAAAAAATGTATTACATCAGCTAATGAATTGAAAATTCTGACGTTCAAGAAATCTCAAGTTGTCAGAGTCATTCTGAAGAAAATTATTCCGTTGTAAACCTTTATATGTGCGTGACGAATACATTCGTTGTGAAGAAATGTCACTTTTTTGTGTTACAAGTGTATTCGTCTTCCTACTTCAAGTAACATTTTCGCAAAGTGTGTTTGTAAGTTTCAGACATTTTAAAAATAGTTTTAGAGTAACTTGCTTGAAGAAACTACCCACAGTCTGGTCGATGAAATACAACTACATTTTAATCTCAAAAATTGGCCTACGCAGTTACGACATTAGAATTTGTACGAAGATTTTTTTGACTGACTGTGTATGAATTGCATTTATACCTAATGTAAAATCCACGGTAGCAACATTTGTACTTAATGTACGAAAACAAATGTATATAATGTACAGAAACAAAAATAAATGACCTACATTTTATTGCCACATTACAAGTACGAAAAGCAATGAGTCCACTTTTCCTTGCATTATAAGATTCCCCAAAATATGCAGCAATTTCTTAAAGAATGTAATAACTATATTATTATATGAATTAAACTTATGTACTCACCACTGCATTGATAGTAACTCCACGATCTGAAAATTTCGCGAAGTCTTTGATAAGGACTGTCTTGATTAAGTCAGGATTGTTTAAAACCAATACTGGTTGTCTTCTTATAAATAGGCCAATCGCAGGTTCGGATTTATATTTTTCGTACACTTCCCGCATGTATTGACCCATCGACAAATGGGAGAACATCATTCTGACGACATTGCCAAAAAACGGTATGGGTTCCGGTCCAGGAACACCGCGTTTCTTCCAAAAGTTGTAAGTTGAGATGGAATAGTAGTAAAGTAGAAGAAGCACCGCGACGATGCCACAAAAAATTTCGATGCCAGTCATTTTTAACTAACTATTTTTAATTCCTCAATAGAGGAGAAAAAAATAATAATGAACTGTAAGAGAAAAAAAATGAATGTACACAATATCGCTTTAAATGAAATAAATATTATGTATTAATCATTTTCATTTTGTCTAACTTCTATAAAAAGATGCTGTACTTGATAAATTTTATCTTTATATTTATTTATCGAATTGATTTCTACTGATTTCAATTTTCGTTTAGACGTATTCGGCCGTTGCACTTAACAACTTCATTTTCAATTGAAAAATTGTTACGAAATGAATCTCTTGACGAAGAGAAAAAATTATTTAAAAATTGCAATTATTTCCTGTGTCACAAATGGCACTGTTCCAGGATTCTTATTCCATAATTTACCAATTGTTTCGTAATACCACAATTCTACACACCACATTATAGACGAATTAGATAGTAAACTTTACAGATTAAAACAGATTACTTCCTTTATACTATTTCATTTTATATCATTACACCATCAATAAATAATTATTATTATAATATATGGATTTTTTAAAATTATCAAAATATCATTATGACCTCAGATTTCGCTTTCTTTCGTAATATTTAAACAATAACAAAACTCCGACTTTCGCGATATTTAATTGTTTGTTTCTCATAACGTCAACCGATTTCTACAAAGCACATTTTGTAAATATATTTATTCCCCACATATATTTATCCCCCACTAGATGTTCTAATAAATAACAAGAACATACATATCAAATATTACATAAAACTAAACATGTAATAAGTACGGAATAAGAATATTATTAGTTGAGATTGAAATGCGATTTAATATCCCAGGAACAAAAATCGTAAATTAATTAAATAAATTAGAAATCTCAGAATTCATATAATTTAATAACTGTAGAATCTTATACTGTACTTACCTTACTTCGACACCGAAAATTTGGCGTTCTACAATTTGAAGAATAACGTGTGCACAGGTCTGTCGTTACTTACGAAATGATGCGAGAACTATTTGATCAAAAATCAGGTGACACCAACTAAGTTGGTGTTTTACTCTATACTCTGTCCTATACAATTATCATTAAAATTTGTTGCTTTCTATGAAGAGTTCGCGATATCATTAGGTATACATTTATAAATTATCATTTAATTACTGTTAGCGTATTCACTTAAAGCATTACGCAATCCTCTTTGATCCGGAGACAATAAAGATAAACTTAAAACAGATAAGGACCGTGCATACGAATGTATACATGTATGTATTATATTGTCAACTGTACAGTGATTTTCCGATTCGGTCTTGTGTGCAGAACCTCATACAGTGAATTACGAAGACATTCACAAGTTGAAATAACATACGATTACAATTTTTTTTTTTGGATGTTAGAGAAAGTAATTTACCGAACAGTGATGAAACAAATTTTTACAAAAAAAGATATGACAGGATGAGATAGAAATATTGTATTTCTTAACTCTTCTATTTGAATCTATAACAAAAATTTAAACGATGTTTTTCGCACGTCTTTTAAGTTAAAAAAAGAAAACAGCCGATCCATCGTTAACTCAAGCATTTAAATTCTTTTGAACGAGGCGTTGATAATATCCACCGTTCTTAATATTGCCGCAAGCAAGCGAAGCGTTAGGACTGTTAATTTACAATATTTGAGGAGGCCACAACTATCTTATGATAAGCTTACAGATTACAATGATTACAGTGACGCTGCAATTATTAAATATTAATGGTTTAGAAAATCTTTCGAACATGTAAATTTTTGTGTATACTGGTCAGAAAATCTTCGCAATTAGTGTATAAATATCAAAGATATTTTAAATTGTCAGAGTCCATGAAAGACCTCGTGTACAGACATTCATTGTAAGTACAGCGTGTAACGAAAATATTCAAATAAGCATAATAAGCAGTTTATCCGTGACAGTCGTTTTAATTTTCTTGTGTGCACGACACCTCATGTGTGCTATATAAAATTGTGGTGTGTAATGCGTACAGTGAAGCTTAACAAAATAAGTAACTCCGTCGAAGTGCGTAAATAATACTTTAATTAAAATAATTATACGTGTCCCAATAGAATTCAACGAATAATTCGCAAAGCTATTTTATTGATAAATAACCCCGTTAAAGAACGTAAACGATTTGTTTGATTGAGAAATGTGAAAAATATTATTAATGAAAAACTCAACCATTTAGTTGTAAATTTATTTCATGATCGGAAGTATATGTCAGAGGAATAGTGCATTGGGCTCGTACAATGTATGATAAACTGTACAGCTGATCTGTAAACAATGGTGACAAACATAATGATATCTCCGTGCAGGTTATTTGACTCAATTTGATACGAAAGCTGCACCGCGCGTATGTGGTTAAAAAGTGTGGAAAAAGGTCTTAATCTGGCCACACCACGACAGACGCTACTACAAGTGTGATATTCATTAAAAGTTTAATAAACTGCCTAACATAAACTAGTTCGTATAACAAAAAGTAGAAAATATACTCTTTATTTGTGCACACAGTGCATTTTACACATCTTATCGTCAAGGTAAACTTGCAATATCTTATACCTGAGTAAAAATTTTATAGACCGAATTGTAAAAATAAATTAACGTGTTCGACAAAATTATGAGACAATTAGTCTGGTTTTTATTTTTGCGACTTCTGTCAGTTTAGATATGCGACTGCGTGTAAATGCAGGAATGAAAAGGAAAACGTATACAATTTTTACCATTTTAGATAAAACAAATCTTTCGTATTCTTTCTTTATTTTGCATGATGACACTTTATGAAAAATTTTAATTTACATACTCACTAATAATAAATTTCGTTTTGACTAACTCGCTTATAATATTTACAATACGGTATTCTTAAACTGTAAGTGTGGGTACTTTGTGTTCGGGCTAGTTCGTACGCATTTGATTTCTCGCAAGCTAATCAGTGGGAAACATTTCTTGCATAAATAAAGTTATTAAGTGGGTATGAGACAAAGACATAGTTGTTGGAATATGCTACATGCATTTTCTCAGCTATTTTTCGCCACTATTATATGCTAGAAAATCAGTTGAACACAAAAGACCCACGTTTATAGTTTAAGATGAGCGTAAGGTGTTAATCAACATAATAGTTACGATAAATTAATTTTAATATATTAGTATTTGAATGTATCACAGTTATTTTTTGTGTTTTAAGGACACTTAAAATACCTGAAATGTATCAAATAAAGAATTGTTCCTTTAATTTTCAACTTTTGTTACTTTCAAAGTGATGGGATGGTTCGGAGCTAATAAAAAGGCGCGTCGATTAACTTCATATGGGATGACAGTTTTCTCGCAGATATCAACTTTGCAGTTACGAAGTATCTTTATAAGCCCAATTTTCGTTTGGAAAACTGCGAATCGTGCACCTGTGAACAAATAGAAGCTATTAAGAGATTCCGTTATATTTAATAATAAAGTATAACATTAAAATATCAAAGCTGTACTGGTAATATGAATTTCCACTGTTAGATTTTATTGCAACTTCTCCAGTAGCAAATTTAAAATTAAAAAATAACCGTGTGACGCGTCCAAAATAAACAATGACAGTTTCTTACGTACCAATGCAATTCCTTGGGCCATCGCCAAATGGTAAATAGTGCATTGGGTGTCTCTTCGACTCCGCGGTACCCATAAATCGACTAATATCAAAAGTTTCAGGATTTGGATAAATGTCTGGATCGTAGTGTATTCCATACAAAGGTATAAACACAGCTACCTCTTTCGGGATTGAAAATTTCAAATCTTCAAAAGTGTAGTCATCGACTGATTTCCTTGTAATAAATGGCACTGCTGGGTACATTCTCAGCGTTTCTGTAACAGTGAGGAACATAATAGGAAATTCATTATTTCCTGCGGTACGCATTTGGGTCTACAGCATGGCCAAAATTCTACAATGCTATTCCTAAAAATAGTAAAATTTCGTTTCCAAACTTTCAGCATACAGTTGAGCAACTACAGTGTAAATCAATAATGTTTATCACTTTGAGGGGAATTTTTTTATTCCTGACAGTTAAGAAAATCTATTAATGTAATATCGATAACCTCTATTTCAAGGTCTGAATTAAGTTAGCAAGTTTAAGAAATGAAGATGATTTTAAAATTTCTTGAAAAGAAAAGCTTCCACTTATTAAATAATTATTATTTCCACAATATAGCTTCCTTAACAGCACGTAAACTTTCATATACAAAATTTTTGCAATACTTTTAAAAATAGCAAAGATAGTCAAGGTGATTAAATTTGTTTTTTCACGTTGTAGAGTGAGCGAGATTTGGAAACTGTCCTAGATCCTAGAAATCTTCAGAAAGTATCAGAATTTTAAAATGTCGATATTTTTTATTATATAAATAATAAATTTTATATATATTTTTTATTCTGTTTACATAAAAAACCGCAGTTTATTTATTAACGATGTTGTTCGAATTCTCAGAACCTTAATTGTTTCAGTATAATCTGTATCCCGTTAACGACAGTGAATATTGTAAGACTACACGTTCAAAAATGCTTGAATAATGAAAATGTTTGACAGAAGAGTGCTGCAACTTTTGTAGATTTAACATCATTTTTCTCACACCAACACGACGCAGGCAGCGAAGGATTTTAATACGACATTATTGAAAAATTCTGTTAGTCGTTCTGTTACAATACAAACCCTTAAATACGCCGTCTAGAATTGGCATGGCTTTTATATTTTCATAGTGCCATTCTCCGTTGTTAATTTCGTGATGTTCCCTGATCTCTTCCCGCAACTTATCTTGTATATCCTGATTCAAGGCCAATTCATAAAGTGCGTTACTGATTGTTGATGATGAAGTTTCAAAACCAGCAACAAAGAAAACAAATGCTTGCGCTGCGAGTAGAGAATCCGTTAATTCTGGAAAATAAATCGAAGTTTCGCATTAGCTACTACATAATTGTTGCTTTAATGAAATTATTTAACGAAAACAGTTTATTCGATTAAATTTCCATCGAAAAGTTATCTATCATCACACATGCTCTAACATTCAAGAAATTTCGACTTCAACAATGCAGGATGAATTACATAAATTTGCCTTCAATGAAAGTTGTTTAATGTCAAAAGAAGCATGGGATGTAATAATGCGTCTTTTCCGATTTTATCGTTTTATTCAGATACGAAGTTCATTTGAATTTTTTTAATCACGTAGAAAAATATTGTAATCAAAGTGGTGACAAGAACTGAAAAAATTGTAAGCGCATTCAACTAACGTCTATACAGTTTGTCTCAAAAATTTTGTAAGATTTTCAAATATCTAAGGTGATTTGATGTAATTTTGTCCTTAGCGGATATGTTCTCCGCAGCACTGCTTACGATTTGTTAATGACAAACACGCACCATTCAGAAATCGAATACAGTTGGCATTTTCCGGCGAAGTCACACTCTGATTACTTCGTGTTTTTCATTAATAAGTCATTAACAAAACCGCTGAGAACAATTTTCACTAAGGAAGAAAATTCTTCAAATAAGCTCAGATATCGTCCCTTTTAGGGGTGTAACGGACATGCGACAAATGTCGAAACGACAGCCCCATCCAATGAGGTAGCAAGAAGACCAGTCGAAGAGCAGCAAAGCTCGTACCGTGATGAGATCACGATACAGGCCCTGGCTGGAATGCGGTGATGTATGATAACAAAAAGTGTATTGGATTAATCAGAATCGGAGCGTATCTCCCAATCTCACACGCATTTTCAACCAGAGCGCTCTATTGACGGAAGCGGTCACACGTGGCGTGTATAAGTGGAAGTAGCGGCTTCGAACGTCGGCAGCTTATAAGCAACAGTTGCAAAGCTTGTGTTTTCACCATTGTATAGTGCAATTAGCAGTGACATTAATATCGCATACATACCGATGTCACCCAGCTTCTCAGGATGATCCCGGATGTCCATCAAAGTGTTGATGAAATCGTTTCTGACGATATTATTCTTCTTTCTGTACTCTATCATGTTCAGAACACTATCGATAAAGAAGTCAGTTCCATAGGGACGCGGTAATATGCGGGAAAGGAAGGTGTAGAACTGTGGTGTAATTTCTCGCATTCTAATTCTTATCACTCGATTAAACGAGGTAGCGAAGAATTCTTTTCCCACTTTACGAAATGCTGATTCCTCGTTCGACATACAATTCATGTCAATTCCAAAGGCGCAGCTTCCAATAACGTCCGTAGTGTATCTAGCTGCCAAATCTCGGCAATCGATGGTGTCACCTTCTACTGCCACTTTCTCTAAATGCTTCTCAAGGTTATTAGCACAATCGACGATCATGAAGAACATTTCCTTCAGTCTGCCAGACGTGAATACTGGCGAGAGTCTCGTTCTCAACGGTCGCCATCTTTCTGGTTCCAGACTAAACAAGTGCTGCGAAAGTGGTTCCGCCTGCGTCGAGAGAATCGAGTATTTAATGACAGTTTTAAATTGCCCATATCGCCGAAATTGAAATGAGATGTACGACAGATAAGGCACGCGTTGAACGCCGCGTGAGTTAGATATCTCACGCTATGATTAGTTAAGAAGTCACATCAATTAAATGTAACTGCAATCGTGGGCTGTTCTCTACCTTTTCTGAATTGTGCACGCTTCACGTTTTCTACGTAATGTAAATTCAAAATGTTAGAAATCTTAGAAATGTCAGAATGCATTCAGAAAATAAACCAAGAACAAAGACATATGGTCCGAAACATGTGACTTCTTTTCCCACTTTGCCGTTGAAAAATTTACTTATACAGACCGACTCCGGAATTCGAACCGGTTTTCCTGTTTCAAAGGTCACCGCCCATCTCGCGAGACCCAAGGGCGATGTCAGCCTCTTTATCTATATACAGGGCCTTCCATAATTACATTAACAGTCGAAAATGGAGAGTACCTGAGTTCATTTATAGTAACTTCTTCCTTAGCGCAAATACAATCCGCGGCTTTGTTTACGAGTTGAAGAACATGATGGATATATTTGTTTAAGAATTGCGAAGAATATTATTAGTACTAAAGATGAATAAATAGAGATGCATTTGCTGCTCGGAAACGATTCACGATGTCGATATACTGAGCTGGCACAATGTACAGCCAGGTCAATAGCCATGCCGAGTAAGGGATACAGTCGGAGGAATCTCAGACATGAACAGTATCGTTAACGCGAAGTTCACTTTCATAGCACTATCGCCAAACAGTGACTACTTAATTAATCACTGACAATTCCAAACTGAGGAGATATTCGATGGGGTGTTTTTCTCTTCTACCGACTTCAAAGTCCATGCGATACGCATAGCGTCCTCCTTCCGTCGCGCCACGCAGTCGAATCCAAGAAGCTCGCCTCTCATTAATCAGTGTTTTTCGTTGATAACTCGTAAACAAAGCCTAGGTTTGCATTTTCACTAAGGAAAAAATTACTGGAAATGACCTCAGTAACTTCATTTCCCGAAAGTAACGAAATTTTCGAACACCATGTATGAACAGTTACTCTCATTCATATTCGGGCACAATATAATTTCTCTATGTTTTGTAATGTATAAGTTGCATGATTCTTATGTCATGTCACTTATGGTGCGTAACGATTCGCTATTTCTTACAGATTGAAAATATTAAAATAATATTTTTCTAACTACAACATTTATTAGGGTAACACATTTTAAATGAGAAGCTGTCACATTAAAAGAAAATATTTTATACATAAGTAATACAAAATTTTAATCTTAATATTTTGTCGCAAATATCGGCATGTATCGGCATGTTATAAGTAATTTTGTTTAAATATTCTGAATAAATAGAATCCCATTTTTCTTTTAGTTTGATATGGAGCTTAGGACAGAACAGAACGAAGTCGATTAGAAGTCGGTCAGATATCGTTTAGAATGATTATTCTCAGAGACACGACCTCATGACTGGCCTAAATTTTATTGTCGCATTACAAATACGAAAAACAATAAGTCCACTTTCCCTTGCATTATAAGATTCCCCAAAATATGAAGCAATTTCTTAAACGGTATAATAAGTAAATTGTTATATAAATTAAACTTATGTACTCACCGTTGCATTGAGAGAAATTCCACGGTCTGAAAATTTCGTGAAGTCTTTAATAAGGACTGTTTTGATTAAGTCAGGACTGTTTAAAACCAACAATGGTTGTCTTCTTATAAATAGGCCAATCGCAGGTTCGGATTTATATTTTTCGTACACTTCCCGCATGTATTGACCCATCGACAGCTTGGAGAACATCACTCTGGCGACATTACCAAGAAGCGGTATGGGTTCCGGTCCAGGAACACCGCGTTTCTTCCAAAAATTATAAGTTGAGGTGGAATAGTAGTAAAGTAGGAGTAGCACCGTCACGATGCCACAAAAAATTTCGAAGCCAGTCATTTTTGACTAACTTTTCCTAACTCATCCGCAGACGAGAAACAATGAATAATGAACTGTAACAAAAAAAGAAAACAGAATTCACACGCAATATTTCGCCTTAAATGAATTAAATATTATGTATGAATTAATCGTTTCCATATTGTCTAATAGGTTTTCATATTGTCTAACTTAGGAAATTTGATCCTTAAATCTATTTATCAGATCAAGTTGAATTAACGTTTAGACGCGTATTCGACCATTACACTATAACAACTGTACTTGTAATTAAAGAATTGTTACTTTATGAATTTTACCATAAGGATAAAAAAATTATTTAGATATTGTAATTTCACGCTCTATCTGAAGAGTTATTCAAACTAAATGGCACTGTTCCAAAATTCCTATTTAATAATTTTTCAAATATTAGGTCTTCGTAGGCATCTTGAAGATGTTCACAGTTTTAAAAGAGTGGAAAGTATGAAGTATGAATCAAGTACCAGTAGTTCTACTTTTAAATCCGTCAAACAATTTTGGTATCGAAACGACAACGAAACAATTAATAAATATGTATATTACACAACCAACTTTGTCAGAAACAGAGATGGGCAAAAAGCATTTCAAAAAGTATTCGAATAACGAATACAGTATCGAGTCGTAAATAAAGTAGCCCTTGAATGTCAAATGTAATTAACATATATTATATAATATATAATTTAATATATAATATTTTTATAATAATATATAATTTGACATATATATGTCAAATTATATACTGTCTCTTATACACATCTAGATGTGTATAAGAGACAGTATATAATTTGACATATATATGTCAAATTATATACTGTCTCTTATACACATCTAGATGTGTATAAGAGACAGTATATAATTTGACATATATATGTCAAATTATATACTGTCTCTTATACACATCTAGATGTGTATAAGAGACAGTATATAATTTGACATATATATGTCAAATTATATACTGTCTCTTATACACATCTAGATGTGTATAAGAGACAGTATATAATTTGACATATATATGTCAAATTATATACTGTCTCTTATACACATCTAGATGTGTATAAGAGACAGTATATAATTTGACATATATATGTCAAATTATATACTGTCTCTTATACACATCTAGATGTGTATAAGAGACAGTATATAATTTGACATATATATGTCAAATTATATACTGTCTCTTATACACATCTAGATGTGTATAAGAGACAGTATATAATTTGACATATATATGTCAAATATAAATATAATATACATTAGAAATATATTAAAATACGTAAATGTTATAAATATATTAAAAATAATAAATATTATTATTTAATATATTATAAATATATTAAAAATATAGTATATATTAATATATATTAATATTTTATGGTTATGCAAATACAAAATAGTTGTATTCGATTTGTATTCGAGAATGATGAATACACCGGTATTTCATATTCCTTTTACCAATAGATACAGAATACATATGCTCGTATTTTGTATTCTGTACCCAAGTATAATATTCTTATTCGCTTATATTTTCGAATGAATACATACATATATCGGTTGGTATTGGTTGTGACAACTTAAATTTTATTCCAACACCTTAGAAATCATATCGCAATAGATTAAAAACCACGACGCATACGCATTAAGGTCCATTTATATCAATATGAACATGCCGATAACGACCTGTCTTTTCGAAATCTCAAAGGTCACTGCCCACTTAGCGAGATTCAACAATTTATAACAATTTATAAAACGCATTTTTTAAATCTTCGTTAAAGGCTCGGATAAAAATTAAAAAATGTATTGTTCTTTTCTAATTCCAAGTAGTAGCAACATTTTAAAAAAGAGTATTTTAGTCACATTTTAATCATTTAATATTTTTAAAAAATTCAAGTCATCTAGTCGAGCTTTAGAACAGTTATTGCGTTTTAAAAGGTGTACGAATACTTTACTCCGTTACTATGTTACAGGCAATTACAATACAGGCATTGTATAAAATGATTCGTGTTTTTAGGCAAAGTACGAAATATCTGAGCGTTATTTTAAGCTGTCAGATTACCCGCCTTATCATTGTGATCCTCGAACTGCTGTCGTGAATTGGAAAGGAATCGTGAAATGAACGACTGATAAAAGTTAGATTAGTGTCCGATTCAATTCACCCGACATATAATACAACAACTATAATAAACTCAGGCCTGTGTCAAAATGTATTCTTTATTTTATAATAATGCAACTGACATGACTTTTGACTGATTCAAAGTTACAAATAACGCAGCTACGTTTCGGAAGGCCAAATACCCAACTGTACACCGTTCATTAATGGTCAATTATTTGTTAGATCTCTCTATTGCGTATACAACTTGAGTGTGTAGAATCTATACAATAGCTTAAGATTCTGATCTCACGGATGTGGGACAGACTTAAACCAACAAATAAATGCATATATACGACAGTCTGGAAACATGCTTGACAATTTACGGTACTTGGAAAATGAATGAACAAGTCATGATTAAACTGCATATTGTATGTATGTATTTATGACAAAAATGAGTATATATAGTTGTGAGTTGAAATAATAGAATAATTAAAAAAAATTGATGACTATTGAATTATTACCTACGGTCTACTGTAATTATTAAAGGAATGAAGGAATCCCCATGACTTCCATTTCTTACAATAGATGGCATGCATTTTTATTTCGCATTAAGATCCGCAGTCTAGTCATGATGAATCGAGATTATCAAAAGACTTGTTGTACTACGTACAAGAGTGCACTTCTGATAATGAAAGTACGGCCACAGAAAAGTTGAGAGTTATGCAGTAAAATTACAATTAGCTATTTTGATAATGCATCTGGCGATCTCCGCAAATGATAACGGGATCATGAGATGCGGCAACGTCTCACGTCAAGTAGTTAAGTGGAGCGTGACGCTGGCTGTATAACTTTTCTTTGACAAAACGGCCAAAAATATTAATAGCGATTTTATCTTCTAAATCATAAATTCATTTTTAACGATTACCCAATTGTTAAGTGTCATCGAAATTCCTCTAACATGTCAATAGGAACAGAAATAGCTGAGATATCGAGATATCAATTTCACCGTGCAGGTATAAGTGTCAGCTTAAATTGCTTTACGTTCGTTAAAATCGACGTTTAATGTATGATAAATAATAAAAATGTTGATTAATAAAATACTAATGTAAACTTATCATTCTTATTTCTATTTTTCTACATTTCTTACACACGAAGTGTCGATAATAACGTTTGACTATGAAACGCGAGTCGATGTAAACATCTGCCGGTGATTTCAACGTGTCGGCATATAAATCATGACGATGAAACACAGTGTCGATGTAATCGTGTCGATGAAAATATTGTCGGTGAAATAATTGTTGATGATTTCGAGGTAACCCGTTTTCTATTCGTTCTCACAATTCTTATACATTATTTATGGGCAATAAATAGACTATTGCTTTTACGTGTCTACTACAAAACTCACTATGACAAAGAAGATTAATATTGAATTTACATTTATGAAAGAATCCTTGTTGAAGCTAGTTTAATCATTTCGTATTGATAAGCTTCAACGTTCATTCTGAATTAATTTCTCTATTTACATTTAATGTGTCTCCGAGGAACTTATTCACCTTATCAAATATTCTCAGATACTAAAAGTCGATTTTCTGTCAGAAGGATTGGCCTTCGACCTATGTTCATTGGACCATTTCTACTCCTCTCGGTGAGTATATTATAAATCCTTATAGTCTTGAATTCTTCCTATTTAACACCATGTATAGTAGTGATAGGTATACGAAAGATTCGACTTACCTGATACACTGAATCTAATGGCAGCCGTACGGAACAGAATAAACGGAGAAACGCTCTGGAACATACTGGTGGCTATCTACACGTTCTCCCCGTTTATAGCCTCGGTATAACTGTTGCGAGTGAGCATGGGGCAACGGTAGCAGGCTCACTACAGACTCCTCAACCGTTGCCATTCTGGTACCCACGGATATACATCTTCGACTGACATATAATTAAGCTACTGCAACAGAAACCATGAAATGTGCATGATCTAATACAACAGCTGAGGCTGAACAGTCGGCAAAAGAAGGCAGCGGCCAGCATACATTAATATGAATTCATAGTAATGCTAGATAAAAAGCGACGACTTGACCCCTTTATTTCTAACTTTTCGGCCACGATTCAAAGGCAATTCGGAGGCCACATGTCACGATTCGACGATCACGTATGTCTCCCGCGAATTCGTGTCGCGTGCCGCATCACATGTTTGACCGACACCGTCGACCCTTAGCATCGACGTAGCAATAAATTGCATAGGCGTAGCACCAGCATAGGGAAATTCACAGCAACCCGAGATTCGGTATTTCCGGGAGAAAATAATGTGCTATGTTTCAAGGAAATATTCTGTTCATCGCTAAATGCTGACGCGTATAAAATACAATAAAAAAAACACAATAAATATATATATGATAATTCCCGCAAGATTGGATCAGATTTGGCCCAAGAGCCGCGACTCGCCCGCGTGCCTGATTTAGTTAACAGACTAAAAGCTATTAACAGCCGTTATTGACGTTATCAAAAAAATATCTCAATCTCGCTATAGATATTTGCAATATCTTTATTAAAAACTTGTTTTTTGAAAATTATCACACTGAACTTGTTTTGCCATACATACGGTACATAGAAATACAATGAAAAAATCAAATAAAACATAGAGAACGTAACAAAATGTATAAAGAACAGAATCGCAAAAATACTTGCTACATCCATCTTTCCATTTAGGGTTAATGTAAAATAAAGTTTTCTAAAAAGTACAATGTTACCTGTACTTTTAGTAACCTAAACTACAGGTACTGAGCCACTGTATTCATATTCGCCACTGATTTTCGCAATTCAAATTTGTTCAGTATTAACCACGCGGACCGGTGATCGATCATGAAGGTCGCCGCAGATTTCGGCGCGAATCTGCAATCGAGGTGGTATTTGGCCGACGACGGTGCCATTGGGAGGGCCTGCCATCTCTGAGTGAACGTATTACTCATTTACGTTTTTGAGTGATGTGCTTATCTAATGATAGCCAGACATCCCTCTCTCACCTGATCGTCACTGTAACGGTCGGCCTCACTTATATATCACATCGAGGTAAACACGTACCGTGTCTCTTTCTCTAACGCTCGCAATAAGGAAGGTGTACAATCGCGACTGCGATTATTCAGTGCTACTCATTGAATTACGGTTAGTTAAATTTAATTAGTGGACAGCTGGTTTCAAAACGTTGATAAAAAATGTAATCGGGAATACAAAACATCTCTAAAAATACCATCGCTAATTGTTTACAAGTTTCTGAACAACTTTCTATTATACACATAACCGCCGCACGGTCTGAGTTTCCGAGATACGATCAATCACGAAAATATTCGAACACTAGTATAACTTTCACTTCTATACCCTATGTATTTATTATTTTATACCCTATGAAAAATACTTTACGGTATATTAAAGTAGACTATACATATAAATGTCAAGAACTTTCGATTTAGTATAAAACTTTACCCATATAATTAAAAAGGTATAAATGAACATCCCCGCAACTTAAGTATTCGAACGTCATATAAAATTCAATTGAAAAGTTATAAAAATACGTTCTATATAAAATATGTTTCAAGAAGTTTGACATTTTTAAAATTATTATTTATTTATAATCTAAGTCGTTTTATATCTCCATTTTACACGATTTTATGACTTGTCATAGTATCTGTATTTTTTGTTGCAACCTGTATGATCGAATTCACTTTATGAGGATAGACAGTCATGTACATGTAAGACACGTGTAAACATAATTTGTTATCTCAACCTGTTAATGCATCTGAAGAAATTTGTAAAATTAGAATGCATTTTTGGTTGATTTTTCCTATGTTGCATCAATATTAATGTAAATGGGTCAAAACTGCATTCTAATTTGACAAATTCCTTCAGATGCATTAACAAATTAAGATAATAAATTATATTTACACGTGTTACATACACGACTGTCTATCCCCATGAATACATACTATAAGCAAATTACAAAATCGTGTAAAATAGAGATATAAAACGACATCGATCATAAATAAATAATAATTTTTAATATGTCAAACTTTTTGAAACACGTTGTTAAAAAATAAAGTTATAAAACTTGTAATAAAAATTAAACACAAATGTACTATACTCTACTTTATTATACCGTAAAGAATTTTTTCCTTCGAATGTATATTTATTTAAATATATAATGTATAAGTTAAAGTTATACTAGTGTTCGACAAACCAACGCTGACGCACACGTTGCTACAGAAGAAAGTAAATAATTACCATACCATTTTTCAAAATTAAAAATTTACATAATTTTCGCTTCCGTTTCCTGCTGCCGGTTTCCTTTCTTTTCCGTTTACTGCGTTTCCGATCAGTCAGATAAAAATCTCGAATACTTCAAGCAATGTAAACAACTGATTTATTAACAAATAATCCGGGAACAAATATTGTATTTTTAGTAGAAAAAATGCCGGCAGTCTAAAAATTACTTACAAGTTCGAAATACATTTTACCTTTTGCAACGCAATACTGTTGCAACTAGAATTATTGAATCCACAGCTCTGCATGCTGAGATGATTCTTTTTCACAATTCTTCAGTATTATTAGCTGTTTATTGATACATGACATGTAAATATCATCATAAAAAAGATAATGAAAGACGTCAAAATATCTCGAGATTTCTTGCAGTAATCGGTCGAAAGTTCCGAAATATTGCGATTATCGCTATCTTTAACTGTTTGCAGCTTATAACAATGTTAACCAATTTCGACGAAATTTTCAGCTACTGTATAATCATATATTGGATAATACACACACTGAGACACAAAACTATTCGAACGGCTTTGAAAATAAAATAACTTCTTTTTTAATTGGCCAAGCGATCTAAATTTTTTTGAGATGTTAGTGGGATTAGTTTATTAGACAATGGCTAAAAAATTATAATGGCTTAAATATTATAACAGCACCAAGCACAAATATGTGAGACAGTTCGTAACCGTTTCACCAATATTAACGTCATAAATTGTCAAAACTAGAGCACGATTCCATATTTGGGGACTGTTCCATATTTACCGAATTTCATCCATAATCTACACGTTCGTTATCGGACACGTTCCTTAGCACGTTTTACCGCGTATTGCATTGGTTTACATACAAGAAACAGAATCGAACATTCACACAAAAGAACGCAATTGATTAGAGTTTTATACAACTTATATTTGAGGGCAGTCGATTTGTGGACTAACTACTAATGTTTTGCGCTATCATTCAATGACCAAGCATAATCGTGACAAAGCATTCATAATCTTGTTGGCGCATGATTATTTTCCGCAAGAGAAGATAAGTCTTTATCACTGTTCTCGTTTAACTATGTGTTATTGCCCTGTCATATTATGCCCTGTCATTATATGCCCTGTCTGGAAAATACTGTGTGATAAACTTATGAAAGGGACATATATACTTAGGTGGGAGGGAGTGGAGAGGACCCGAAATATAAAATTTTAGCTTTGGGAATTTAGTAGTTTCCAAGAAATAATGACACACTTTCGCTATTACTACGGTCAATCGGCTGCGTGAATGTGGAGCATGATTCTTACTTTTCTCGGTAGTCGGCAAGCAACCTATACAGGGTGTGACATGTAACTGTCGCCACGATTTTTCAAGCACTTTCGACAGTCTGACAGAAAAATGTTTTGAATGAAAGTTGATCAGTATTTAGTCGGGTACATATCGAAATACGACAAATTTCATAAACCGTTGTTTTTCGACTAAAAGTCAAGGTCACTTTGATTTTTTTAAACGACACCTATGACCTTAGTATGACCTAGAGTTCAGCAATTTAGGCGTTACAAAAAGCGTTAATATCGAAAGCTATTTTATTTCAATGAATTTATGAGCACACAATTTCAGTAGTGTAAGCAAATCACGATTAGTTGCATCTGTAATATTGTCACGACGAATATTCTATACTTGGAATTGGCACAGCGTTCAGCGTACAGTATTGACTGTAAGTGACTCCACAAAAAGTCCCGAAAGTGTAATCAAAAGTTGCTATTCGTGAATATACCGGTGCCGTGAAAATGTGGAAGGACTGAAGGTAAAGAAGGAGAGCGGTCTGGACCTGCTAGAAGGACTTAATAGTAAGGATATCAAGCAGAATCTGTCATTAATTTTTGGGATGCCGGGAGGACATTTGATGACATTTGAACACAAGGTGTTCCAGAACTCTCGTAACACCTAAAAAAGAATGATTCCAGAGGTGATTTGAAGTAATTTGTTCCAAAGCGAATATGTTGCTTACTGCTTCGTTAACGACTTATTAGCGAAAAACACAGACAAATCAGAGGTCGAGTGCAACGGACGAACAGTTGAATGGTAGATGGTGTCTGGGACACCCTGTATTCGCAAATAGAGTAGTAACAGGAAAAATAGCCATCTGCTGACGACTGTTCGAGACATCCATCATGATATAAAAAGCTCCCTGATAATCGCGTTATCTTAAACAGTATACGTACGTTATTTACTATTTGACAATTCCTTCGCGCGTATCGTTAATATTCAGTTTGGTGTAGAAGGAACAAAGTTGAAATTTGTTTAAAAGTGTTGAATAATTTATAGAATGCTATTGATTTATCGGTAGGAAGATAACCATTTTAACGTTACTTCATAATTAATGTAACATGTCCCGTTAAAAATACATTCATGTATTCATTATTCCCCTTATAAATCATAAACAAGGTTATATGAAGTTCGGCCGAATTAACGTCAAGAAATGGTTTTCTTTAGGATTCTTTTTATAGGCATTAATCTTAAAGGTGCGGTGTACTGTTATATTCGATCTGTTAAAGACCCGCTAGAGATTCCTGTACTGATCACACTATTAGTGGAAAACGTCGTTGCCTACTTTATAATAGGGAATAACGTTTTTAAAATTAGACCAAGCAGCTTGATACTTTTTAGGATTTGGGAGGAGGAATTTACTAGATAATAAGTGAAAGACTGTTGAAAAAATTGCAATCGGTTGTAGTAACAAAAGAAAATAAATAGTAAACGAACGAAAAGTGAAATATTGCATTTGGTGTTCTCTTCGCTGCGTGCAACTTATGCGCATGCTGAAAATTTCATCGAAATCGGTTAAGGTTTTAGGAGCTATAAAACAATTAAAGATAGCGAAAATCGAAATTTTTTCCAACTTTCGGCCAATAATTGTACAATATCTAGAGATTTCTACATCTTTCAATGCTTGTAGTTTGAACCTGCGTCAATCGATTTCGATGAAATTTTCAGCATGCATATAAGTGCATGAGCTCATTGCGTGCGTGTATTTGTTGCTTTATGTGTTATTATTTAGAAATAATAGAAAACCATTCAATTATTGCTAAAATGTACGTTTGAAATTAAACGTGTATTAACTGTAGGAGCATTGTATTAATTGGTACTTTTGTACTCAAATTATAATCATCAAACTGAAGCTACTACAGTAATTAAATGGTATTCGACATATTGGAAAAACAGTTGTACGAACAACGAAGTATTAGAGAAGTGTGATATCATGCAACCTTCGTCATCTTCAAATATATGTCGTCCTTAGGCGCCAAGAGAAATGTTCTGGGATTGAATTCGAATGGAAGTTTAGTTTGTTCGCAGATTTCCACTTTGTAGCGTAAAAGTATTTTGAATATGCCGAGTTTCCACTTGAACACGGCGAATCGCATACCTATTAAAAACATATATAAGTTAGAGTGGTATGTACATTCTGTAGGACTCTATTTCGTAATAAAACCAAACTATTTGTATATTTTGGCGAAAGATTCAAATATTTTGTTGGTTTTATCAAATCACTAATTGTTAGATAAATTATGTCACCATACTTCGTAATATAAATTTCACTTTTTAAAAATTATTATTACCCTAGATAGAAGATATGCTTGTTAACAGATATTAGTAGCAGAATTCTAGCAAAACTAGATTGAGAGAGAAAGGAAAAGTAAGAAGCTAAGCGTGAATATGAAAGAGAAAAAGGAAGCGGAAAGGACGAGGAAAGATGTAGAAGCCAGAGAGAGAGAGAGAGAGAGAGAGAGGAATTTTTGAAAAGTGGAATTTATATAATAACTTTAAATTTTTGTTTTTGTCTCTATGAAGACACGGCGGTTCCGAAATTTTGAATTTTGAAATAGCAATTCTAAGAAAAAATGTTTAAATTAAATTTAATACTATTATTGGTTACGCGCCCTTTCCTTGCTTTCGCGCTCTATGTTTTACACGAACACTTGCTATCGTATTTTTGCCCGATCGGAGAAATAGGCTCCCGTTTGTCTCCCGTGGACGTCACTACAGTAAGGATTTAATTTGGCACTGAATCTAAGCAACATTTCGATTATCCTATCATCGTGTTCTGCTCGTTTGGTCGGATATCTAAGGTTCTACTATAGTTGTGATATTATTAACATTTAGTTTTCAGTTGTATGATTCGATCAAACATTTTCTCTTTACGGCGGCGAGACAAAAGATTGGGTTTACAAACTTACGGTTGCAATCTGCATATACATACCAATGCAATTTCTTGGTCCATCGCTGAAGGGTAAATAATGCATCGGATGTCGAGCTGCGATAGCTTCTTTGGTGAATCTTTCAGGATCGAATTTCGTAGGATCCGGATAAACGACAGGATTCCTATGTATCATAAGTATTGGAATCCATACTTCGGTTGATTTTGGTATTGTAAAATTTAAAGTCTCGAAAGTGTAATCAGAAGTTGTTATTCGCGTATATACCGACCCTACTGGATATTTCCTTAATGTTTCTGCAAAAATGATAAAACTTTTATTTGTATTTTAGTGGCTCTAGGAACGAGTAAAGGTTAGAGATAGAGAAGAAGAGTGACCTGATCTTTCTAAAAGGATTGAACAAGAAGGGTATCTAGTAGGATCTGCCTTAGAGACACAGGGATGTCGGAAGAACATTTGTGGTACGATACACAGGGTGTCCCAGAACTCCCATTACACCTGGAAAGGTGTTCCTGATGTGATTTGAAGTAACTGTTTCCAAAACGAATATGTTGCTTACTGCTTCGTTAACGACTAATTAACGAAAGACACGAACAAATCAGAGACCTAGTGCAGCGGACGAATAGTAGATGGATACGACATCCTGTGTCGTAATATCTGGGACACCCTGTATTCGCAAATTGGTAAGTAACAGGAAAAATTTTTTCCAACTTTTGGCCAATAATTGTGCAATATCTAGAGATTTCCACATCTTTCAATGTAAGTAGTTTGAACCTGCGTCAATCGATTTCGATGAAATTTTCAACATGTATATAAGTGCATGTGCTCGTGTGCTTCTCCAGGTGAGCGCATGTGTGTGTGTGTGTTTAAAATTGATAATACGATGGGAATCACTCCGTTCGCCGCATTACACATTAGGTGACATGTTTATATGTACCTCTGAACACTTTATCCAAGTAATCCATCTCTTTCATAGTTTCATAGGTGATTTGATTGTTGTACTTTTTCGCATACTGTCTCATTTCTTCACGCAACTTATCCTGTATGTCTTGGTTCTGTGCTAACTCAAGAAGAGCCCAGCTCATAGCTGTTGAAGTTGACTCATGACCGGCTGCGAAGAACATGTAAGCTTGAGCCGTCAGCAACTGGTCTGTGAATTCTGAAGGCGGTAATTAAATGTTAGTGGTCACTTTTAAAGTACAATTGAAGTTGTGTTAAGTACTCTTATTTTTTGCAATTGATTAATTGTAATTCGAAATAAGAGATGGTGTACTACTGACAGATTCGAATCTGACTAGTTTCAGCACAGACTTGGGATCCATACAGACATTGTGTGTAATGCACTTTTATGTCTCAGAAGCATTACACACACACAGCAGTACGAGACGTTGCTATTGAATTAATAATATTACTCCGGTTGAACAATATATCTGCCATGAATGTTATTGTAGATAATTAGTAATTTTCTATCAAAAAATTTATTTTCGGCTGGCTTGCGAGATACGGAACGCATCACATCTTTTCAATATAGGAAACTGTGCAAATTACCGAGCTCGTCTAGCTTTTCCGGATGGTCTCGAAGTTCCATCAGCAGATGAATGAAGTCGGGTCTATAGACGTTGTTCTCCTTCCTGTAGCGCATCGTTTCTGTGACAATGCTTGTGAAGAAGGGGGCAATCTTCCTGTCAGGAAACACGAACCCAAGTAAATCATACAATCGGGGCAAATACATTCTCAGCCTTAATCGTATCACGTTCTCAATACTTCCTTCGAAGATCATCTTGCCCTGTTTACGAAATTCGTTGTCCTTGTCGCTCATGGTGTCAAGGTTAATCCCAAATGCGCAATTGCCGATTACGTCCATCGTATAATTCGCGGTCACTTCGTGAATTTTTACTACTTCATTTTTTGAGGCTACTTGGTCCAAATATTTATCTAAGTTCTGCGAACATTCCACCATCAGATTGAACATGCCTTTCAATTTGCCTGACGTGAACATCGGACTCAGTTTCTGTCTCAACGGCCGCCATCTTTCCGACTCCAAATGGAATATGTTTATGGACATGGGTTCTGTCTGCGAATATTTTAAGGAAGAATCTTGTCAGATCAATCAGTTTGTTATTTGTAACTAAGCATGTATTAAAGTTGTGATCGGTTCTCTTGTTTCATATTTTTTTTTCAAATTGTCCATTTTTGTGTACAATTTGAGCGTCAATTAGGGTGAAATTACTATATTTCGTGCAGTTGCCATTATAGTTACTTTACGTTGATTGAGAATCAATTATATGACTACTTGTATTCAGCAGTTTCAGAATCAGAATGGCCAATCGTCCATAATTTTAACATTCTAAATTTAACATAATTACAACATTGTTTGGTAGATTGCTATGTATTTCAAAGAGAAAAAGATCTGGAGGAACAGTTAGAGTTTAGTAAAAAAGAGATTCTCGTACAATGTGGTTAATATAATAACACCTATAAATGAAGCTTTAGTCAATTATAAAATTGAAGTTATGATCTAACAATCCAGTTCTTTTTCTCAACCTTAAATGAAATTTTATTCAGTAAACAAAGTGATTTTTTCCTTAACTTTTTAACTAATGTTCCTGTCCTTTCTCCTCATACATACCCTTCCGTTAGGTTTACGCTGGCGGTTTGCAAATTTAGAAAAATCCTTTATCAAGGCGGACTTTATAATATCTGGATCATTCAGAATTAGGATAGGTGATCTGTAGCTGTACAATCCAACCACTGGTTCATTTTTATACGTTTTAAGAATCTCCTTTACTATTTGCGACGTACACACTCTTGCAAGGATTACATCCTTCAGGTTACCGAAAAGCGGCCGAGGTTCTGGTCCAGGTACACCACGTTTTCTCCAGAAATCGAAATTGCAGACCAGGTAATAATAGATGCTGGCAGCTGTTACAACCAGCGCACATAAAAGTTGCATGTAGATTATCATTATTTCGGCTCTTTAGCGGTTACTGGTCAAGGTTTAGGTTCCACAAATTTCGAAAAATTTGATTCAACGAGCAATAGTTGACGCCAGCTTTTTTTGTAAAAGATCGTCCTTCTTAACTTCGACACAATAGATTATAACTTATAAAACAAAATACTTCAGTTTTCTGAGAAATTAATTTCACTTCAGGTGAAATCGTATTTTGTGCAATTATTAACAACACACCTGGACAATTTGTGACCACCGAGCCGCATAGGATTTCTTCGGCCACTGTTCTGCGACCCTCACCATAACGATGTTGCCCAGGCCTGCAATAAAGTCTGTACTATAGTATAAACTATATTATACAGGGTGTCCTAACTTTTTTCGGCCAAACGATATCAACATATTCTACGAGCGACAACGAGAAAAAAATGTCACATAAACAGAGGCTCAAATGGAAAACAGTAGAAGCACTTGAAACATTTTGAAATATTGCATTATTTTTAACTTACTAAAGTTGTTGAGTAACGATATACATATCTACGTTGCCTGTCTGTCTCATAATTGGTGTAGAAAATTTTTATTTCATACAAATCCGCATCTAGTTATTATTGTAGTTATGACGTCTTTGATTGTTTAATTTATGTATTTGTACAAATAACTGTCTCCTTCCTCTGTCAGCCGTACTATTACCGAAATGTAACTCCATCGACTAAGTGATTGAATGATATAGATAATGGGAGCTGTTACAAGCAAAGCTTGCATACATAGTACAAAAAATCGGGGGAGACAGCATATGGACGCACATTTGGGCGTATTCCAAGCCTCGTACAAGACCTACGACGCGGTCCGTTGTTCTTATGTTAATAAAGTGACCAGAACCTCTTGACTGTTTTATTATTATTATTATTATTTTACTATTTATTATCTTATTATTATCTAGTTCATTGCAAACCACCGAATCCGCCCCTACGGTGAGAGAACAACATTTCTCCTAATAAAAACTTATAGAATACTTACAAATGATACAGTCACTTCTTTCTGTTGCAGTTGCGCGACAAATAGTCACTGACGCAGCTCCGCAGCGATTTATATATGAATTACGTTCATAAATATTATCTACACTGATTTACATTTGCAGTCAACGTGCAATATGTTTATGTTCGTTGAGTTATATTTGAGATATATTTTTATGAACGGCTTATATGCATAAAATACTACTTCGAATGCATATATATGCAACAAAAATAATTTACGTGGTTCTACAATGAAGAGCAAAAGCTTCTATCCACAATTTAAAACGGTATAAGCTTTTTTAAAACTGGGCTAAATGGCTTGAATCTTTTTTAGAGGGACTAATGATTAAAATGTCTTTTTTTTAGTTTTGCTATTACTTAAGATGACAAGGGAAAAGAAATAAGAAACTCCTATCAAACAAAAGTTGATCAGTATTCACTCTTCCGCATATTATAAAAACTTTTAAAAAAGATTGTTCTTACGAAAAATGCTAGTCACCAAACTCATTTTAATTGGTAATCTCAATGACATCGGTAACTTCATACGTATCAGTAGATATATAGGTAACGGTCTAAGCCACGGTGCTCGAGGGGTAAGTCGAACCGCGGGGCAAGGGGGAGAAGGAGTCCAGCCGCGGCGAGTGCCGGTGGGTATGGAGGGGGAAGGGCCGCAGCGAGCTCCGTGGTGGGGGGGTGAGTCTCGCGGTTTCGTATTTCGTACGCGTTATGGATAGTCGCTTATCTTCCGGTCTTCTCGTCTTATTGAATTTAATTATGCAACATTTTTTATCGCGTTTGCATCTTTACATTGTAGAAATGTTTTGGAGTGAGAGAAAGAGAGAGAGGGATAGACGCATCGCATTGGTTTTTCTCTTCCGCTCGGCCGTTCTTCGCCATCAACGAAGCATAGTTTTTGGGAGTGCGAGAGAGAGGGGGTAAATGCGTCGCAACGGTTTCCGTCGCACATGACAAATGCATCGCAGCATTTGTAGTGAGTCTGGACACGTTCTCTAAGCGGTCTTCACGTCTTATTGAATATAATTATACTGCGTTTTTTTATCGCGCTTGCATTTTTACATTGCAGGAAATGTTTTGGAGTGAGAGATAATCCACGTTCTGCGATAAGTTTGTCACAGTCTGTGACAGTCTGTATCTCTGTTCGACTATTCAACGATTTCTTCATGACTCGACTGACAAGGTCAAATCGAGCCCAGTCGACAAGTTTCCGAATTGCTAAGAAGGGAAATTCCTTAACATTGAGAAACCGAACCTCTAATGAAACAACTTCAGAAAATGTCATCGCCTATGAAGGCTTTCAAACGACAAGGCCTAGGATCTGGACTTCGTCACTTTTACGATCGATCTTTGAGACCAATCATTTCCAAACTCTAAATTAATTTTATCTAATAATGAAACGTTTTTAACATGGAATCAGAAACACCATAGTAAAATCAAAATAGATATAATTGCATTTGGTTAAGTACACAAATTTCATTTAGTATCAAATAATTTCCCTTGAATAGAAAACGGCATAATAGGTAAACTGTTCTTAAATAAATATCAGTACTAAATTAATAATAGTTCACTCGTTTTAGGTAAAAATTCCAATTAAAAGAAGAATCCGACATCCCTGCGAACCAGTACACTGTGCGATAAGCCATTTGGAATAACATCCTTACCAAGGTTTGCTATTTTAATGCAGGTAACGATGACTTATTTTATCAATAGAATCAATATCAAAATATGTAGATGGTCAGAATTTAAACAACGATTTCGTCTAGATCACATAGAACCATAATTTAAAGATTCAATTGAAGAAATAATTGCAAGTTATACTTTTGTTCCCACGGTCATACCTCTAATAATCCTAATATTAAATGCGTTACCCATTTTTGTACTATCTCCCGTTCGTTGCTGCTGTTCGATGCTGCCACTCATGATCAGATCGATACCGATAACATTAATGATATTCGATCAATTCGATACCGAAGTACTAAGTATTGATAACTCTGATAACTTACAAAAGTATCGATACCCCTTTGATGCCTCTATGTTAGTATCGATACCTGTTTGATACCTTATAAAAGTTTGAGATTTGAGACTTCCGTTTGAGACTTCTATAAGAATTTCAATACCTATTTCACACACATGTTTCGAGATGTTCACTATCTATTTAACATTTCATTACAACGTTTACAGTGTCTCTCTTTTCGGCGTGACTTGAGTATGCAACTTCTGATACCGAGATATTACTATGGCTCTGTAATTTATTGATTTTCTTGCGATCCTTTAATTTATCGATTTTCTCGCTATGCTAAAAGGTTCGACGATGTCGGTGAACACATGTGCTGCGGCGCGCGCCGCGGCTCCTTCGACTCGAATTCACGGATGACAACTCATAATGCAATGACATAACTTTGTTTAATTTTAACATTTTAATACTGATTTTTTTTTAACATATTGCTGATAGTTTTCTGATTAAAATGAGACCAAATATGATATAGTTTGGACAGATATTTCTGTTGACAATAAAATCAAAGACGATACTGCCAAGATGCGCGTGGTGTGCGGTGCAGAAGAGTTTAGGGAAAGTTGTTGTCTTTACTGATGTTTATTTCATTCTCCCAAAAAATGCTATTTTCGCCTTAAATGCTATTTTTACTAACGGGCTAATCTTCCCTCGCCTTTCCGGGTCAATAGCAGCAACTTCGAACAATTTTTGACCCCATAACGCTCCTGATTTTATCGGCCCTTTTCAGGGCCTCTCCATCTTAACGTGAAATCAAACAATTCGACCATAACAAGTATATAAAAATACACGTCCCCACGCCCCTCCACAGGATGCCTCTACGATTTTGGGGTATCAGTGTTTCGGATTATTAGTGACTGATTAAGTGATCAGTGTTTAGTGACAGTGCAGTGAAAGTGAACTTTGTGTTAGCCATACCTGAGGTCGTCCCTCCGACAATCCTCTGAGGTTCTTTCCTTCAACGCTGCGGTCCTCGGCCTGGGACCAGTTGTGCATTGAACGAGATCAGTGCACCGACATCGTGACCCACAATTTTCGAACGGCAAATACATCCTCAACTAAATGGGTGAACTTACTATTAATGATAATCTTTACAATTCTTAAACAAACATATCCTGCGTGTTCTTTAACACGATTATTTATTATTAAATTAGCTTTGCGAATCGTTAGTTGAATTCCGTTCGGACACGGAATTATTTAAATTAAAATATCATTTACGTACTTCGACGGGATTACTTATTGTTAAGTGTCATGCACTTTAGAAAATTAAAACGGCTGTCACGGTTAAACTACTTACTATTTCGGGTCCGAAAAATTCGTATATATTCTACAGACATTCTAAAATAAGGACGATCAGCGCTTTTCTTAAAATTGTCACTGTCACGTGGTAAAAACAATTCGGAACGTTCCGTGACTTGCACCTTGCTTCGAACGCGGCTCGAACCCGTCGCGCTCCACGAACGAAGCCACGTGTAATTCGCTCTCTCAACCATCTTGCAGATCGCGCGCTCGCCTCTCATTGATTAGTGTTTTTCGTTAATAACTCATAAACAAAACCACAGATTTAATTGCCACTAAGGAAAAAGTTACTTCAAATGACCTCAGCTACCTCCCATTTCCGTGTTACGAGACATTTTTGGGACACCCTGTATAGAAAAATATACGAATACTTTTTAACGAAAATAAGAGAAAAATGAATACAACAGTAACCTTTACCTAACTTAAGCTATATATATATTGCCGCGAGCCGCTGATCCGACCTCACGTCGCGTTCTTCGCGAATGTTTCCCGGCGGCTTCCTGTGCTCCTGACCCTCTGAGGAGGAACTCCGGTTTTCCACGCAACTGCCTATCGGTTGGCCGCTTCTTCGGTCGCTTCCGCGATCTGTAATGCAATCAGGTAAGTGTCAAACGCGATCGCTAATTTAGAAAAGGAGAGCGGGGTAGTTTATTAATCCATTGGAGGTCTTCGTCCTAAAAAGGACACGCTGTTTCTGCGCTCTCTCGACCCCTCCCCCCTCCCGTGACGTATCCTAGAAGCATCTGGTGTAAGCACATCGGCAATGCTCCCACCAGAAGGACCTGGGTTAGGAGAATTCCTGGTGCGATCCCTACACTCAGACCGATGTATTGATGCTCCGGCGTCAAAAATAACCAAGAAGGACCTTTGGTATAACGCGGTCAGTTAGCTCCTACTAAAAGGATCTGGATCGAGTGAGCGACTAATATGCGCCGATCCTGGATTTAGTGGCAGCAACTTTGGATCGGCCGCACGAATGTCGTTGTGTACGAATCGCTCGGACAGACTGGAGGAGCGATAAAGACCGAATATCCGCTTTTCAATCGAGCATATTTAAAAAAGTTTTGGTATCTGGGCGAGGAAAGCGGCTTGTGGGTAAGCAACTATAATTTGATGATTTTATTACGTATTATCGGCCGCACAGGCTGTGTTCGCCACATCTCTCGCACACTTACGAATGTCGTTGCGTACGAATCGCTCGGACAGACTGGAGGAGCGATATAGACCGAATATCCGCTTTTCAATCGAGCACATTTAAAAAAGTTTTGGTATCTGGGTGAGGAAAGCGGCTTGTGGGTAAGCAACTATAATTTGATGCTTTTATTACCTGTGTACAAATACATCTATCTCTTGCCAATTATGTATTTCGAAATAATAAGCATATTCTAATGTATCGTGTTTTAAGAGAAAAACAGTGCGATAAGATATCACATTAAGCAATGCAAGAACACGGGTCTGTATGCACTGTCATTACGAATCATACACGCGATCGATTAATTTATCGAATTTCATATTACAATTTGAAATTCATATGACTGATAATATAAGTTATCTGTTATGAAACTACTCTAACAACAAAAATGGTATAGCGGACTTTAAACTAGATAACAGACGGTTTACTTATAACCGTAGGGGGTACTGAAAAGCACTTCAACCTAAATTTAAAAAAATCAAAAATATGAAATTTAAGAAGTATTCGAGGGGATAACTCGAAAAGTATCGACCTTTTAAAACATTTTTTACACGTTCTTGTAAACATAGAAATAACATTTAACTTTTGTTTAAAGTTTTTTTTCAATATCTCGCACCGTTCTCGAGATATTCGACGAAAATATAATTCTTTCGGGGATGAAATCACCCCTTAAAGATGAATTATGGCACGAACGAAAATTACGGATGACTTTATCTTGTACACGAAGTTTCATACTTTTTTTAACATCCGGTTTCCCAAACTTCCCTTATTAGTTCCTCGTTCAGCCGCACGGCATGTACCCTACAATTTTTCTAACAAAATGAACAGAAATAAATAAATTTATCCAATATTTCCTCACAAAAATATCTTGACAGACTTAATAATTGTAGAATAAAGAATCTCTCTCTCTCTCTCTCTCTCTCTCTCTCTCTCTCTCTCTCTCTCTCTGATATCCGTCATTTTGGAGGATTGTAATAAATACTGAAATGAAATGTATCGTTAGGGCCCCAACTGTTGTGTTAAACCTTTCGATGGATTAAAATGTCCGTACTCTTTGTCGATATCCAATTAAATTATTATATTTCCGTAGAAGTAGCAGTAGCTTATTTATTTGTCAGCCAGAGATACGTGGCTACCAGAATGACAATGGTTGAGAAGATGATTGTAAGCATGTTATCGTTGCTTACATGTTCACTTGCGACAGGTATGTCGAGGCTATAAACGGGGAGAACGTGAAGGTAGTCCTCAGTACGATCCAGAGCGTTTTTACGTTTGTTCTGTTCTGGACGATTGCCATTTGAATTAGTATATCAGGTAAGTCGTATCTTTGGTACACGTATAACTACTATAAATGATGTTTAAAAAAATTTTTTTGGCTCAAGACTTTAAGGATTTATAGTACTCACCGAGAGGAGTAAACAATGTCCAATGAAGATGGACCCAAAAATCAATCCTTTCGACAGAAAATCGACTTTTAATATCTGAGAATATTCGATAATGTGAATGAGTTTCTCAGAGAAATTAATTAAGAATGAACGTTGAACGTTGTCAATACAAGATTATTAGGCTAGCACCAACAATGACCCTTTCGTAAATGCAAGTTTAATATCAACCTTCTTTGGCATAGTGAGTTTGATAGATAAAAACTTTGCATTGCAACAGGGGGAAACCCTACTGTGATAAAGAAGGCTTGCATTAAATTTGCGTTTTCAGTTGCCCGCATTTGCCATTATGCTTTATTCAAAGCAAAATGGTGTACATTCGTTTCTTTTTTGTTGCAGTTCAATATTAATTGTTTCGCGTCTACCGAGGAGTTAAAAAGAAGTTAGTCAAAGATGACTGGCTTCGAAATTTTATGTGGCGTTGTGGCGGTGCTTTTCCTATTTTACTACTATTTGACATCAACTTACAACTTTTGGAAGAAACGTGGCGTTCCCGGACCGAAACCGATACCACTTTTTGGTAACATCGCCTCAGTGATGTTTTCACGGCTGTCTATGGCTCAATATATGCGCGAAGTGTACAAAAAATATAAATCCGAACCTGTGCTTGGACTGTTCATAAGGAGACAACCATTGTTGGTTATAAACGATACCGAATTAATAAAAAGAGTACTTATCAAAGACTTCACGAAATTTTCAGATCGTGGACTTTCTTTCGCAGAGACGGTGAGTGCACAAGTTTCATTTGCATAACAAATCAGTTCTTAAATTTTTTTAAGAACTTGCATCAAATTTTCGGAGATCTTATGGTGCAAAGAAAAATGAATTTATTGTTTCTCGTATTCATAATATGGCAATGAAATTTGGGTCAGTTACTTTATGCATTATATATTAAATGCAGACATTGCTAGCCATAGATTTTACATAAATTGATATTTTAACATTCGTACACAGACAGTCAAAAAAGTCACCGCACACATTCTAATGTTGTAACTGTGTAGACCAATTTTTTCTCGCTTCGGCTGTTAAAGTAATTGTGGAACACCCGTATATATAATCTTATAGTTTTATTTATATTATTATATTATTGGATTATTTATTTATTTATATTATTGGCCTATAGTTTTTGCGATAATTAATGTTAAAGTTGTTAATAACAGGCAGGGAAGATAAGCAGCTGCGCTACGTCGCGTTCAGACATGTCAGAGGAATGCTCATAAGTGGTAAGGGAATAATAAAGAGGGAACATCAGGAATGGGAGTGAGTGAGTGATCTTCCCATAGATTCTGAGCACATAATTTCCTATAGATTCTGCCGCATGGTGTCTCGCACCATAATCCAGCGTGTCTTCATGGTCTTTTATTAACAACTTTAACTATAAATACCTCAAAAAGACCTCTGACCTCATAACCGGATATAATTAAATTCGGCTTCATAAACTCGATCACTGTACCAAATCACATCAAAAAGTGAGCGTCATTCTTGGGGTCTTTCCCGTGTAGGTCACAAAAAGTAAAGTCCAGTCCACAATTGTAGTTACATTTAATTCACGTGACTTCTTGACCAAACCCAGCGAGAGTTATTTAACTGGCATGGCGTTTAATTTAATTATTCGTTGTACATCTCATTTCAATCTCGACGATGTAAGCATTTTAAAACTATCATTAAATGCTTGGTTTTCTTAACGCAGGCAGAACCGCTTTCGAAGCATTTGTTCTTTCTGGAGACAAAAAGATGGCGATCGTTGAGAACAAGGCTCACGCCAGTATTTACGTCTGGTAAACTGAAGGAAATGTTCTTCATGATCGTCGATTGCGCTAATAACCTTGAGAAACGTTTGGAGACGCTGGCAGTAAAAGGCGACCCCATCGATTGCCAAGAGTTGACGAACAGATACACTGTCGACGTCATTGGCACCTGCGCCTTTGGAATTAACATGAATTACGTATCGGACGTAGAAACGACATTTCGTAAAATAGGAAAAGAATTCTTTACTGTTTCGTTAGCACAACAGCTAAGAGTTAGTGCAAAAAACATCGCACCAAAGTTGTATAACTTGTTATCCTCCATACTTCCGCGTCCCTTTGGCACCGACTTCTTTATCAAGAGTGTCCTGACCATGATACAGCACAGAAAGAAGAATAATATCGTCAGGAACGATTTCATTGACACATTGATGGACATACAGGCGCATCCTGAGAAGTTGGAGAACATCGGTGTGTATGCGATATTAATAACACTGCTAATTGTATCATGGAATGCTGGAAACATCAAACTCAAGCTTTGCAACTGCTGCTTATAAGGTGCCCCGACGTCGCTACTCCCCCGTCAATACTTCTGTACAGTTTAGGGAAAACTTACACACCATCGCGTTGGCGTCTCAAGACTAACTAAACTTCCTTCACTTCTCATAATGCACCCTGCTTGTAGACGGCAACACCGTGACGTCACACTTGTTTCGGAAGCCTCTGTGGCAGGCAATATGTTGCCGAATAATGGAAATTATTCCACGGTAACGTAAAAATAGAAATTTTGAAGGCAACAGCCCCATAGAGTAAAGTTTTAGAGAACACAAAAGACCACTTTTGAACTGCTTATTGCGACATTAATATGTAAATACGTGAATAATCGTAACCTTTGCAAGCTCGGATATACAGAATGTCCCAAAAATGTTGTAAGTTCTCGTGCTTATTAAAGATACATTATATCTAATTTATTATATTTATTTCGCACGGTATATATATATATTTCTTGTTATTAACTCGTCAACAAACCGTAGAGAACATTTTTGCTAAGGACAAAGTTACTTCAAATCAATTCTGCCCCTCCAAGGAGTTATAAATTTTTGGGAGAACCTGTATAAATGTTTGTTAAATGCTCTTACACCTTTTACAGTTCTCGTTACGATGTTCATTACAATATCTTTCTGTGTGATTAATAAATTTCAAGTAATTTTCATAGCCGAATAATATGTCAAAATAGCAAAGAAAAAACGAAATATTACATCCTGTGCTTCCCTTGATATCAAACAACTTTCATCGAAGGCAAACTTACGCAAATCATTCTGCATAGTGTGAGTCGATATTTCTTGAATGTCATAGCATGCGTGATGATGGTAAAATGAAACTAGTGTATGCAAATTTAATTGAATGAACTGTTTTTGTTAAGTAATTATGATGTAGCTAAATGGAAATTTCGATTTTTCTAGATGTAACGGATTCTCTACTCGCAGCCCAAGCATTCGTCTTTTTTCTTGCCGGTTTTGAGACATCGTCAACAGCAATCAGTAATGCACTTTACGAATTGGCCTTGAATCAGGATATACAAAACAAGTTGCGGGAAGAGATCAACGAACATAACGAGCTTAATAACGGAGAATGGCACTATGAAAATATAAAAGCCATGCCAATTTTAGACGGCGTATTTAAAGGTTTGTATCGCAATAGAATGTCTAATAGGATTTTTTAACAACGCCTTCCCTGCCTGCGTCGTGTTCGTGTAACGTAACTTCTACAAAAGTTGCAGCACTTTTCTGTAAAACATTTCCATCATGTAATCATATTGTTATACAATATCCATTTTCTTTAACGTATGATGTAAATATACAACTATATAGCGAATGTTTAGAAATATCAACCCTAGAATTTTTAATATTCTTAGGAATGGTATTATAGAATTGTTGGCCATATGTATAGTAGGCTTAAACACGTGCCGCAACAAATAATGAATTTTCTAAATACGTTCTTCATTGTTACAGAAACGCTGAGAATATACCCTTCGGTGCCATTTATTGATAGGAGATCAGTCGACAACTACACTTTTGAAGACTTTAAATTTTCAATTCCAAAAGATATATATGTGTCTATACCTATGTATGGTATACACAACGATCCAGATATTTATCCAAATCCGGACGTTTTCGATATTAGTCGTTTTACGCCTGAGGCGGAGTCGAAGAGAAATCCAATGCACTATTTACCATTTGGCGATGGCCCAAGGAACTGCATTGGTACGTAAGAAACTGTTCTTGTTTATTTTCGACGTGTCAGACAGTTATGTTTTTATTTTTAATTTCCTACATATTCAACGTCCTCTACTAGTGATCGCACAAGTACTGTTTAATAATTTCGGTGATCTCAAAGCTCTCATGTAATTATGGTAGCCAGGAGATTAGGCAAGATATTAAATCGAAGGAGTGTGAGTAAATTACGTGCATTAATTCGAATTAACAATTTTAAATGTGAAATTAGAAAAATCAAATAATCCGAATTAATATGGTTATTAATAAATTAATTTTTAAATATTAGTTTACGATTTAAAAAAAGAAGCAAATTATAACACGCAAACGTTGGAAGGTTTTCAATTAAATTGTTGGCGCTAGAATTGTAATTATATTTAACTTTTAACTTTTTGTTATAGACTTACATAAAAAAAGCAGAGTATTTTTTTTCATTCCAAGTAATAGTAAAATTAAAAAGAAGCATTTTAGTAACTGTTTGGTACACAAGTATCTCTGTCATCCAAAAAAATTTAGGTCACAATCCAGTTCTAGAAAAGTTATTACACTCTTTAAAAGTTAATATATGCGAACACTTTCGCGAGTCATTGTATCTAAAGTTGGCAAAAGCGTTTTTGACAAATAAGCGCACTTTCATGTTCATCATTTCCGGACTTTGCCCAATGAGCAGCTTTGCCATATTGTTACGTACTCGATCCGCCCGATAGGTGGCAGCACAAGTAATCTAGAACTAAATTTTAACACAAATAGCAGAGCATACAGTAAATTCTCCCCAATTTTTTTTCAACTTGTAAACAAAAATTAACAATTTGTGAAGAGGAGATGCTTATTCGAGACTTGCGGTTCATTTTTATAGTTATCAATTGTCAACAAAGCTATAAAAACGAGGCGCAAGCCTCGAATAATTTTATCTTCTCTTCCAGCATTGTCTATATATATAGTATAGTATATATATAGTAAGTCATAAAACCCATAGAAAGGTGACAAATTTTGGTCCCCTAAGGAAAACAATAGTTAACGAAGAAATTACTATCGAAACTCGTTTAGAATTTGTTAGTAAATATCGAAGTTGGACCATATGATCATACAGAGAAACATTATAGATGTAGTTGACAAATACGATTGAAAGTATATCAGTCAAAGAAAATTTATTCGAACAAGACCTAGTTTTCAACAATAACGAGGTTTTAGACACTTGTGAGACACAGTACAAAAATGGTTAAATTCTGAGTTATATGAAGTTCTTAATTAGTCAGCGGAAAAAAATCAGGGATATCACTCTCCATAATAGGAATTAATATCTGCTCAAATGGTTTCATTGGTTGAATTTTAACTTCCACTGTATTTTACTGAATTTCGTGGTTTAATCTATTCACAGAGAAAATGCAATCGGAGAAGCTTTACAGCTTTAATATTTTACTGTTATACTTTATTATTGACTAGAATGAGAAAATCTCTTAATAATCTGTATTTGTTCACAGGTACACGATTCGCAGTATTTGAAGTGAAACTTGCACTCATAAAGACAATTCGTAACTACAAATTTGACGTCTGCGAAAAAACTACCATCCCATATAAAGTTGATCCGCGCGCTCTTTTATTAGCACCAAACCATCCCATCATTTTGAAAGTAACAAAAGTTGAACGGTAAAAGTACGATTCGTCTTTTAATGCATTCTAGGTGTTATAAGAGTTCTTAAAACACAAGAAATAAATGTGATACATTGGAATAATATAGTGTCATTTAATTTCATAAAAAGAAGTTTAAAACACTGTGTATCTTCATGATAATATTGGTTAATATTTTCATTTTGAACAAATTCGAGCAAATAAAGTCGCCTTCATGGTAAAGTTTGAGGTCTCCAGAAGTAGAACTGATGTACCATTCTTCCTCTTCTGCTGCAGTTCGCTATCCTTCGTATAATCGCAGACAGTGATCGCTATTGGTCGAAGACATGACAAAGGTCAACGACGGGTAGTATTGAGATCGAGTGAAACGGTAATTTTTCCGTATACTGTCATTATTCCCTCTCACTCGATCTCGCTACTACCCGTCGTTAATCATCGTTGTCACCGTCTTCGAACATTATCGATCATTGTCTGCGACCATAGGAGGAACACCGGACAGCAGCCAAAGTTGGTTTATACGGTATCTCCAATAACGCGANACTCATAAAGACAATTCGTAACTACAAATTTGACGTCTGCGAAAAAACTACCATCCCATATAAAGTTGATCCGCGCGCTCTTTTATTAGCACCAAACCATCCCATCATTTTGAAAGTAACAAAAGTTGAACGGTAAAAGTACGATTCGTCTTTTAATGCATTCTAGGTGTTATAAGAGTTCTTAAAACACAAGAAATAAATGTGATACATTGGAATAATATAGTGTCATTTAATTTCATAAAAAGAAGTTTAAAACACTGTGTATCTTCATGATAATATTGGTTAATATTTTCATTTTGAACAAATTCGAGCAAATAAAGTCGCCTTCATGGTAAAGTTTGAGGTCTCCAGAAGTAGAACTGATGTACCATTCTTCCTCTTCTGCTGCAGTTCGCTATCCTTCGTATAATCGCAGACAGTGATCGCTATTGGTCGAAGACATGACAAAGGTCAACGACGGGTAGTATTGAGATCGAGTGAAACGGTAATTTTTCCGTATACTGTCATTATTCCCTCTCACTCGATCTCGCTACTACCCGTCGTTAATCATCGTTGTCACCGTCTTCGAACATTATCGATCATTGTCTGCGACCATAGGAGGAACACCGGACAGCAGCCAAAGTTGGTTTATACGGTATCTCCAATAACGCGACAGGAGGAGCGACGAAGCCAAACGCTGGAGACAATTGGAAGGAATAGCAAGACAGCAAATTTTCAGGATATACTATATGTGCCAAACTTTAGGGCTGATTTATTGTCGGTGGGAAAGATTGCTGGCAAAGGATTCAAAGTGATTTTTGAAAAGGAGGAAGCAAATATTCTAGACAGATCAGCTAATAGAATAAATTGGATCTGTTACCTTCAGGAATTTCCAGAAATTTCGAAAAGTTTATCAGAATCCAAACAAAGAAATTTAATAATGTGGCGTGGAAGGCTTGGCCACTTAAACCAAAGCTACCTAAAAGAGTTGTGTGAGCCATTAGAATTAAAGTGGGATCTGATATTTCATTTTCACCATGTGAAATTTGTATAAAAAGGAAAATGTTGAGAACCTCCTTTCCACGCGAATCGGAAAGAAGCTTGACGCCCCTCGAAACAATTCATATGGATCTGATGCGGTCTGATGCGGGTGTGCTTCCATGGAGGCTCAAAATATTTCGGAAACTTCATTCACGACGATGCACGATGGTGTGAGCTAAAATTTCTGCGGATTAAAAATAAAGTTTTTTCATTCATTCAATTATTTCCCATGAAAGGGTTTTCACTGTTCCAACAATTTTAAAATCGAAAATGTGCTCCCTAAATACATTCAATGTTATTATATTTATGAAACGACAATAACCAGATTTTCATTTGTAGAACATAGCAATTGTATATTGTATTACACGAAGATGTTTGATATGACGACGTAGCTATTATTGTAATTATCTGCCTTCCTTATTAAAACGTATAAAAAGCAGCATTATCCTTCCAAAATACAACAGGTTTATTATTTTTAACGTTTACACGACCCTGGATGAATACAATTTCCATTCTTTTACGATAAATAGTGCTGTCTCATATCGCAGTGCTTCTATCAATCGTTGCAAATTTTCCTTATATTCGAGGTCATAACTTTAGCACTTTTTACATACAGTAAACCATGAAAGTATCCGAACGCCTTTTAAAACAGAATAAATAAATAAATAAAGCGATCAAAATATTTGTCGGATGTTACCAGAAAATGACTAAAAGATTGTTTTCAAAAATCGCAATTTGTTGGGATGCAACAAAACGATGGTCTTTCAACTTCTTTATCTGGGCCTATAACAAAAATTTATAAAATGCATTTTTTAGTTAAACTAAAGCAGTAACTTATATAGCCTATGAAAATTTCGTCGAAATCGGTTAACGCTATTAACAACTTTCGACCGACAACTCCAAGAACTCTTGAGATTTCAGTATGTATACAGGGTGTAACATTTATAATTCTTTCACCTTTATTTTTCTTGTAAACTGGATGTTGTATAAAAAGAAATGTTTCGAACGAAAGTTGTTTGGTACAAAGAGAACCAAACACTGCACAATTAACTTTTTACTACTTTCCCTGTTTATCAAAATATGAGGGTTACCTTGAGTTTTTTAACTATAATGTGCAACATTTAATCATGCCATGCAAACGTCTATTAGATACAGAATAAGAAATTATTGTGGTTCAGGCGTTCATTAATTAATGTTTACCGAGATATTGTTTAAGTAATTTTTAACGCAAGACGTGGGCAAATATCGTCCACTACAATTATCGCAAGCGTGTAGGCGATTAAGCAATGCCAGTAGTATATGCTTAAGTGCTTCACATTTTGTTAAGTGGCCTTCATATTTTGATAAAAAAGGAAAATAGCAAGCAATTAATTCTTGCCGTATATGCTCCTCTTTATACCAAACAACTTTCGTTAGAAACATTTTTTTTTACACAACACATAGTTTACAAGAGAAACTAAGATAAACTAGTCTCAGATAAAAAAAGTTGAAGAAACATCATTTTTTAATTTCTGTTGTCATCTCATCTAATTGCAAGTTTTGAAAACAATTTTAGATTTAGATCGCTTGAGTTCCCGTCTCAAAGGCGTTCGAATACATATACATACATGTATATCTTTCTCTTTATTCTAATATATTTAACAAACTTTCTACGCCTATTATCTAAATTCCTTGAACATCTTGTAATTTTCTATTTAAAATATTTATCACTCTGCGAACTTTAATGCGATTATCTATGCATGATGGCGGTCTTTTACGTGCAAATTCGTAGAACTTGATGTGCTTATGTGAATGTGCACACGTGCTAGTTCCTCGATACTGATTAAATTTGTTGAAAACCACAAGATTGGGATATAATTTCTTTTAAAAATTTCGGTTACTTATGAGCATGCTAAAAAGGGCCTAACCGGTTAAGATGGTCAAAATTGCCCTTAGAGGTTTTTTAATGACTATTATACCGTTCGATAGCCGACCAAGAAAAACTCATCTATGCAAAATTTCAACCCTGCAACTTGTCCGTGAGAGTAGTAAATTAGATTGTGCGCTTTTCCACCAATTTCCTCCCTTTGGTGGCTTTTTAAAATTTTGTAAAAAATGTGACTTATTTTGGACATCAAGCCGCATATTGTAGAATTTTTTCAGATTTTTCGGTTCCAAGCTGTTCAATACATCACCAGAAAAATTTTATATAAACAAATATGACACGTTGCATTGTACTTTTTAAATTGGGTTAGTCAATGTTTAGGTAGGGGAGGCAGCTTCGATGATCTTGACCCTAAAATATGTTGTTAAGATCATTATTTTCAACAACTTCTATAGATGTTACGATCGCTCGATCTTCGATTCCAAGATATTGACAGAAGTAGTTGTTAGTATATCTACAGGGTGTCCCAAACTTATGTTACTTCCAGGAAATGAAAGTTTCCTGAAATCATTTCAAAGACTTTTCAAATAGTATTATGTAGAATTAGATTTTGCATATGTTCATATTAAATACTTCTTCGAGATAGTATTGTATGAATAGGAGTCTTTGGTCTTTGTCATAGATCAAGTCCAATGAACTTGACATTGAGAAAGTAAACGCAAGTCACGATGAATAATATTTGTGTACAGAATATATATATAAATCACGAATAGCTGCCGATGCTTAGTTGTCGCGCAACTTCGACGGAAAAAAGTTAGTCTCTTATAGTAGATGTCGACATAAACAATTACCAAGATATTCGTACGTACTATATTAGCTTTTATTATACGTATCATTTAGTCGATAGGAAGACATAAATTAAACAACCAAAAACGTCATAATTGCAGCAGTAACTAGATCACGGAATTTTATGCCGAATAAAAATTGTCTGCTCCGATTACAAGAGGCAACATAGATATTTATGTTGTTACTTAATAACTTTAATAAGTTGAAAATGATACAATATTTCAACATGTTTCAAGTGTTTTTACTGTTTTCCATTTGATTTACTCATATAAATGGATAAAACTCCGCAGTCTAGTAATAACGGATGTGAATCGTGTCCTTTAATATTACAAATAATACAAATAAAAATTTTAGATTGCGCCTATAGTGGCTCAATTAAAGTTGATTTCATTCGTTGCACTTGGAAAAATTCAGTCGTGCGAATACTAGTAGATCAGGAAATCGCGATTCGTACCGTTTACCTATTTTTTACATTTTACTTATCGGCGCAGAGAAAAGATTTAAAACACGAGAGTTTTTAATTTGTTGTTGGTAGACGAAATAATAGCAAAATTAAAAGAAAGGTGTTTCAAGTCATTGTAAAGAGTAAACTATTACCTGTAACATTTAAAAAAGAATCATGTCATTTAATCCAATTTTTAAAAAATTATTGCATTTTTTGAACTGTTGTGACAGTGGTTGCATATTGCCTATTTTAACAATCCAATAATAATTTGTTCCTATGATGCTTTCGTATAATGTAACGGTTGGCACATTGAAGACAGAGATTGAATGCTACAGTCATTCAACACTCGGAAACTATTAAAACTGTGAAGCTACTAATCTCATAACTATTAAAAAGAATTGACCTTTAGTAACTCATCCTTATAACTCAATTGGCAAACCCTTATAATTTCAGAGATATTTATGTTTTATTGTGTTATGCAATAAAACCCACATCTCAATAGTTCTGTTAGATACACTCAATAATCTAGAACAAGTTCTAATTTGAAAATTAATCAGAAACAGAAACAATGTTAAAATAATAATATTAAAGAAACAGAAATTAGTTTGGCCTAGATGATAATTCCACCCGTTCAACAATTAAACATTTAATATCTGGAAAATTATAAGAACAACAGATATCAAGATCAAAATTAACAACCTAAAGCCCTTTAAAATAACTAATTAGCCAGCCTTCGATATCGACGACAATACTTATGTATATTTTGCAACCTTCATCTATCCATTACTTTTTAATAAATAATGACCATCGATTAAACTTCTGAAGGATTATTCGGAGCGCACACACACACAACATCCTTAATTACATGTGTATATTACAACCAATATTCTTAGTGAATATTACGCAATTAAGATAGGAAAACGATAATATATATCGTCAAAAGTTGCTTAGCATAATGACCTTGTTAATGCACTCCAAGGAAATTGAAGTCAATGAGGAGGACTAGATTTATTGGCTAGTATGTTATCTGGTAATATTGATGTGAGGACGTTCGCATAATAGCTGCATAATTAAATAAATTAGACTGTATTATAGTAAACCCTCATATAACGATATACTCTCACGACATAATTTGGTAAATATGACGATTAGGGCACCCATCTCCAATAACCTTTATCTCGACATATGTTGTCAAGATTCTTTTGATTCTGAGATTCTTCTATATATATAGAAGAATCTCATATATATATAGCAATAAAATTTTAAATGACATTAATTTCGTGTGACACCAAGTAGGTGTCTGGCGTCCGAATAAAAAATTCAGTCGCGTGTCGCGTTAACTAAAACTTCAGAAAGTCCTGAAGGTCTAGGGCTTCAGAGTCTGTAAAGACCCGTAATGAAATATTGTTTTGTTCCCGATAAAACGGGCCAAGAACGGTATTCAGCATGATAATACAAAAATGCTGTACAAGCTATTCCCTAACTTAATCGAAGCAATTTTCTTAGGAAATCTCACAAGACCTACAATTTGACCAGTGAGCGGTAAACAGCGAAAACAATGGCGACCTACATGGAACTCTTATGCGGCCTGGTTGTATTAGCCATCACCTTTTATTATTACTTAGTCTGCAATTTCGATTTCTGGAAAAAACGTGGCGTACCTGGCCCAAAACCTCTACCGTTATTCGGTACCCACAAGGATCTAATCTTTGCAAACATATCCGTGGCATATGTGGTCGAAGATCTTTATAAGAAATATAGAAATGAACCAGCAGTTGGCCTGTACAACGGCAGATCACCCGTTCTCATTCTGCATGATCCAGATGTTATAAAGACCGTCATAGTTAAGGATTTCCCCATGTTCGGAAGCCGACCGCATAAACCTCACGAAAGGGTATGTATGAGAACAAAAGAAGGGTGAATATATTTGATGAATTGGCATGCATTTAAATAAAAAAGAAAAGAAATATTCGATGAAAAAAGCTAGTGAAAAAGATTCTTATACAACGTTCTCGGGAAATCAGATTAAATGAAATTTTAATAATGTGTCAGTTTTATAATTGAATAAAATTTCTTTTGAAGTGATATCCTCTCTACATCGCGTATAAGAATCGTTCTCACTAAACTTTAACTGTTTCTTCAGTGTTTCTTAACGCTTTCGAATACATTGCAATTTATCGAACAATGTTGTACCGCTAACACTACGACATATGATAAGACCACCTGCAGTCGCCGCAGAGAGTATGTTGATACCTATTCAATCGGAATAACTTATAATTTCAAAATTTATATAATTTCAAAAGCTGTCGGTATGCACACAAATTACCCGGTTCTACAAAACGTATTTAAATGTTCGTTAGAAGCTTAGACAAAAAAAGATGAAAAAACAACTGTTCTATTGTTTTATCATTCCAACGAATTGCAGTTTTTGAAAAATGATGTTTACTCATTGTCTAGTAAACTGGCCAGTCTGACACCTTAAACAAATTTAAGACATTTGGACAAATTATAAAAAAGTTATTCCGTTTGAGAAGGCTCGAATAATCGTATCTTCTCTTTCCAAATTGTCCATTTTTGTGTACAATTCGAGCATCAATCAGAGAGAATTTACTGTATTTGGCATCATGTTTAACGTTCTTATGTAAATCAAGGATTCAGCATCACAAAAATTATAAAAACAATCGATCACCATTTTAACAAAAGCTTAGTTATAAATAACAAAATGCCATGAATCTTTTATGAAATGTTCATAGACAGAGCCCTTGTCCGTCAACTTGTTCTTTCTTGATGAGGTAAGATGGCGACCGTTGAGGCCGAAATTAAGTCCCTTGTTCACATCAAAAAAACTGAAAGGCATGTTCGATCTGATGGTGGAATGTACTGATAGCTTAAATAAATATTTGGACTATATAGTCTCGAAAAATGAAATAGTCGAAATTAGCGATGTGGCTGCTAAGTTCACAACCAACGTGATCGGTAGTTGCGCATTCGGGATTAACACGAACACCATGAACAACGAGGACAACGAATTTCGTGATAAAGGCAAGCAGATCTTCGAAGGAAATATTGAGAACACGATACGATTGAAGCTGAGACTGTTTCTGCCCAAGCTCTACGACTTAATTGGATTTGTATGGCCAGAGAATAAGTTGGCCCCCTTCTTCACAAAGCTTCTCATGGAAACGATGGAATACAGGAAGAAGAACAACATTCACAGACCTGACTTCGTCCATCTGCTCATGGAACTCCGGGACCATTCAGACACGGTGAACGACATCGGTAAGTTCCACAGAAAATTGTGCTAATAAGATTAGTCAACGATATGTGCTGTTTTATGCTAATACAAGAGTGAGTTAAAAACATAACCTGGCTGTAGAATTTATTGGAATTAACTTTCAAAAAAGAAACGACACGCATCGCGGTTTCTTTGACCAGAATTCTTGAAATGACAACTCATAATACAATACCACAACTTTTCTAATTTTAACATTTTGAAACTGAATTTTTTTTAATATATTGCTGATAGTTTTCTGATTAAAATGAGACCAAAATGATATAATTTGGATAGATATTTCTGATGACATAAAATAAAGTCAATCACCATGTAACTGAATAAATATGGTGTAAAGTATATCGTGTTTGATCTCATTGGAAGAATATGACCAATTCGAAGCATTTTCATGTATAACAAATTAGAAATAAAAAAAGTTAAATCATCGTCTATATTCTATCATTATTGTTTATTTGTATTAATATACGCTGATACATTGGCCGCTGGCTTTTAAGTTTATCTATTGCTCCGATTTTCCTCCTCTCTCTCTCTCTCTTTCTCTCTCTTTCTCCCTCTCCCTCTCTTTCTCACAAGATGTTGACAACTATAAAAACGAGCCAGGAAACTCAAAAAATCATGTCTAGTTTGTCTAAGTTGTTCATTCTCGACTCGAAGCTATGGGTCTATTAGGGAGAATTTACTGCAATCATTTTTCAACATGATCGACCAGTTTCACAATGCACTTTCGTATTCCTACTTTAAGATATGTTTTCGATTGAATAACGAACTACGAACACACCACTGCTTTTATAACTTCGTCAAATGTGAATATAGTCCTAGAGCAAAGAGATGAAAACAATGGCGCATTCATTGCTCTCATCACACTATTAGCTGAAAATACATATTTCGACAGAAAATTTCAAACTTTTGACAGTAGTAGTGATGAGAGATATTTTGTTTGAACAAAACAATCTTATCAATTTAGTAGCATCGATTTATAAAAAATAAAAACCCAAAAAAATGTTGGTCTGTGTGGGAGTTCAGTTATATATATGTATATATATAGAAATCGATGATATGTCCGAGTCTGCTCCTTTAGTCCGAGTCTCCTCCGAGTCCTCCTTTATAAAAAAAAAACTCGTTAAATGCTTAATCAGAATCGATCCTACTTGTAATACACTTTATCTCACTTCTAACAGCAACTAATCGGTTGCAAAAATGTTTAACACAAGTTCAGTCACAATATGAATGTGACAACTTTTATTTCAACTTTAATTTCTGACTGCCTACTAATATTTAATTACCGGCTTCAGAATTGACAGACCAGTTGCTCACGGCTCAAGCGTACACATTCTATGCGGCCGGTTTTGAGACATCTTCAGCAGCCATAAGTGCGGCTCTTCTTGAACTAGCTCAAAACCACGACATACAAGACAAGTTGCGCAAAGAGTTGAAGCAATATATGGAAGAAAACAATGGTAAAATCACGTATGAAAGTGTGAAAAAGATGGAATACTTGGATAAAGTGTTCAAAGGTAAATATAAGTATGGTAGCAACAATAATAAGTATAAATTGTATTCGAGAGTTTGCCTTTATAATTTAATATTTAATATTTACATTGACTATAGAAAACCGCGAATTTCTCGATGGAGGGACTCTTCTCCTCCCCCCTCCGATTTCAACGGGACTTTATTAATTAACGGGACTTAATTAATTACTTTCTTTTCACCTACAAGCAAAAGAGAAAATGAACAGAAATTTCAATCAAACCGCTATGACCTTAAAAAGTATAAAATACTGCAAAATCTTTTGAAAGAGTTATATCTCCATGAGTAGATCTGGGTCTACACTTTACGATATAGAAACAAAAATAAGGATCCATGGTTTAAAATCTCCGTTCGTTTTACAACTAACCTAATATTAACGATACATTGCAATAAACAATAAACATCACACACATACTTTTTAAACTAACTCGGTTAATTAAGCTTATTATACAACTAATATTTTTGTTGCTCCTCCAGAAACATTGAGGAAATATCCTGTAGGGGCCATTTTACAGCGAGTAGCATCCAATGATTACTATTTCGAGAGTTTGAAATTCTCAATACCAAAATCAACCGAAGTGTGGATTCCAATATATGCGATTCATAGAGATCCTATCATTTATCCAAATCCAACAAAATTCGATCCTGAAAGGTTCACTAAAGAAGCTGCAGCAACTCGTCACCCTATGCATTATATACCGTTTGGCGACGGACCAAGAAGTTGCATTGGTATGTACATGCATACTTTAACCATATTTCTAGAAACCTGATTCTTTCTCCTATTTTAGCCATATTTCAGTATCGGAATTATTTGTTCAGATTTGAAAATTATTTTTCACGCTATTCTATTATATTTTCCTAATTTTATAAGGGTTCGTAAAATGTACAAATGTAGAAAAATTCATTGAAGACATACAACTTGATTTTTCTATTTTAATTTTATTAAACAAAATACAATGTTATGAAATTTTCAAAGTTGTCGACATGGCAATCAAAGTTCAAGAAAACAGATTCGATTCCATTATACAAAAATAATAGAGCAACTACACTAGAACATTAATTATCTGAACAATTAAGGAGAACTCGAACGTTTGGATAAAATCAAAATAATAGACTTTCTCTCTCTCTTGTAGTAACTATCGACAATTAACGATATGTGCTATTAATATCTGTCAACATCCACATATTGAATCTAAAAGTTGTTTACATACCATAAACGTATAAAAATTCACAATTCAATAATAATTTGTATAAAGTGAAATTGAAAATGACGAATTATGATAATATTACTTACCTTAGTGTTTTCATAAAATCAACGAAATATTTTCATCTTTTACTGTAATATAATACTTTATTAATTTCACTATCACGAAATTGTCTTTCAGAAATTATTATTATTTAATATGTTTTTCACAGGTACCCGTTTCGCTACTTTCGAAACGAAAATCGGTATATTCAAAATACTTCTACGCTACAAAGTGGATATCTGCGAACAAACCAAGCTTCCATACGAATTCGATCCCAAAACATTTCTTTTGTCGCATAAGGGCGGAATATTCTTGAAGATGACAAAAATTGAATAATGTTACGCTTATATGTAAGTGCTCTGATGGCAGTAACTGAAATTAATGGACAATGATTTGAATACAAAGTTTTAGATTTATAATGACGAGAACTAAATAATGCTAACAATAAATATTTAATTAATAGATTTTAACATCACTTGGCATACACTAAATTGCAGTTACTAATCGATAATTCACATTTAACTATGATATTCAACTATACATTCTCTCTAAATATTCTTAAGCACCCTATAATTGACATTTAAAAAAAGTTTAGAATAAAACCTTTTTTAAATGTCAATTAGTGAGTGCTTAAGAATATTTAGAGAGAATGTATAGTTGAATATGATAGTTAAATATGTGAATTATTGATTAGTAACTGCAATTTAGTGTATGTCAAGTGATGTTAAAATCTGTTATAAATCTAAAACTTTGTATTCAAATCATTGTCTATTGTATTCATATCATTGTCATTGTATGCGTACTTGTTAAAGTCCGGGCTCGTGGCCAGTGGTCGTTGTACTCTTAGAGTTTATGTATGAAGAAAATCAATAAGAAAATTATACAAAAGTACAGGGTCCTGAGACTTCTTTGTTTGATCCTAGATTAGAGTGAGACAGATTGTATTTTGTCCGAGGCTATCTCTTCCTACGAAATCGTTTCATGCTCAGCAGTAGTACATATTGCCTCCAGTTATCAATATGTTCTAAACTAAGACCATCTAGAATTAATAAACGTTTAATTTTAAACGTATAGATTTAAACATTTTAGCCGTAACTGAATAGTTTTCGATATATTGGACAAACAGTAGCATGAACAACAAAGTATCGGATATGTTTCAAAAAACCCTTATTTAAAATGAGTCACATTCATATTAAGACTGCTGATCTTTATACAAAGTAAAAATTGTCTAACTTAATTATAAGAAACAGAACTGAAATTAAACCTTAAATTAAAGAAAAGATAGCAGAATATTCATAAATTTTTCTAACGTGTTTACATTTTCGTAATTTTTCTAGTCATTTTTATCATAATTGCATAAAAAATCCGCAGTCCATACATATTGTCACGGGGATATTATCTACGTATACAAAAAAATAAAACTTAAACAGTTACCGCACTTAAATAGGAACTTCGAACATATAAGACGGTTTTATTTAGTAATTATAATACGGAGTCGATAAGGTAAGGTAAGAAATGTGTTATGCTTGATTACCAATGAACGACTGCTTCATTACTCTTCGGGAGGCCTTTTATACCTTTTGTTATTGTGGCGTACGTGATCGAATGCATGTACAATTATAACAGCGTACGTGATAAGCGCAGGTAAAAGGGTTCGGATGTCCAAAAGATAGGCTGACCGGATGTGTCTCAGGTGGGCTCACCTCAACTTTTGAGGAAAATCGGGATAATCAGAAAAATTAACTTTTACATTATCATTAATTGTTTATTTAAAAACTAAATATTTGAAAAATATTTACTTCTATTATAAGATCTATATTAAACATTGGAAATGTATTGTACAATAAAAATTTCATACTAATTTATATATATATATATCAGATACTGAAATTGATATAAATACGTTTCGTCCCTCGCGTTCAATTTTTCATTTCTTCTTCATCTTCCAGAATTTTTACATGGTAAAAATTCTTCCACTTCGAAAATTTATCACCAACAGTTATAAAAATGAAAATATATTAAATATTATTGAATAATTTCACAAATTTCCATTCAGTGTTACATTATCTGTAATGCTGTCCATTACTTGTAATGTCCAATGTACTTTTATTTGAATTTAATACCTTAGTTCTTTCGTTTTTGTATTTTCTTCAATACTTTCCAGTTATTGTATTATATAAACAAAAATAAACTTTTCCTTAATCGAAAATAAAACCTTTATCATATCTTGTTTTAACGGTTCATGTATCAAAAGAATCCGATTTGTTCTTTGATATAGTACGAGTTTGTGTCAGACTCTTAGATTTCAATATGAGTTGAAAATTGTTTAAATGTTTACTATTATTTGAGATATACGGCAATTAGATTAAACAATACATTTTTTGACAAATTTTTAATAACTAACAGGAGTAAGATAGTGCAGTTAGATACAATGAAATACAATATGCCAGGTAATCTGACACATTCATTACTAGCGTTCGTATAAGCAAATATTCATAGTTGTAATATTTCATTAAATGCCATATAGCCTCCAATGAAATGTGAATTAAATGTTACCACAGTTATAACATTAAATAATGACATCCATAAAATTAATTGGATTTTCTTTACATAAATTACAGGACAAAATGTGATCATTAACATACAAATAGAGATAAAGAACATAAACATATGTTTACTGAAACAAAGAAAATTTGCAATTGCACATAAACTGCTTTTACAAAACATGAAGATTAAAACTCACATTTTGATTTTGCAATTATGCTTTCCTGCTTCTTGATCTACGGACCCGTTCAGGGGCTGCAATAAGCAATAAATGTATTATTGTTAATACAAAAATTCACGAATTAAAAATTGAAACAAAAACAGTTAAGTATAATTACGTTTTTCTAATGTCTCAATTGGTACTTGAGTTATCATACTTCTCGTTTTCTTCTCGGTAGACTGTGCTCTACTCCGTCTAACATGAGGAGTCATAGGAAGTGTTGGTTTTTCTACGCAACCAGTGCAGTCTCTTTCTATAATAAAATCCATTTATTTAAATAATTCGGACTTACCAAAAGCATATTATTAACTATATGTTCAGAACTGTTATTACCAGAAAATTTGACGCTTCTTCGGCTAGATTTTCGTGTCCCACTTATTTCGTTTAAACTCATACCACGAATAGCATCATATAAATCTACTTCTGTATTAATGAGTGTATCATCTTTGCTATTAATTTTAAGTGAACTTTTACTTTTCGTAGGAGTTTTATTTTCTTTGTATCCTGATTCATGCACATTCATAGATAGCTTTTTAGAGTATCTTCTTTTCTGTATTGGTGTATTTTCTGAAATAATACTTCTATTTCTTAACACTCTTATATTGTCAGAATATTCAGTTGTTTTTTCTTCTTTATTCGTAGAGATAGTGCTTTGCAATTTCTGTTTGCACTCGTTCAAATCTGTACTATCTACAATTTCTTTAAACGGTGTAGAAGCTATAATACTCAATGATGGAATTTCATCATTTTCATGACCATTCTGTCTTGTCAACATTCCTCTTTGCAATAATGTATTTGGACTGGAATTCAACATTGATTTCTGTAATGTTGTTGTAGCTTTTGTTTCCATATTTTTATTTTTAGACTTCTCCAATTCTGAATGTCTGTTAGAGTCATACAAATTTAGACCCTCTTCAAAGCTGTCATCATCAAAAGCTAGCTTCCTTTCTGCATGAATTGGTGTTTCATCATTAACATAATAAAAGTCAAGATTATCTATTCTAGCAAGTGCAGCAGCTAAATCCCTCCTTGTTTGTGTATCATTATCTACTACTTCTTTGTTTAAAATTGCCTTTTCATCAAAATTAACCTTGTGTGCTGGCTTCATAATATCTACCTGATTTGAATATTTTGATTGTTTTAATATACTCTTTGCTCGTGTCTGATGAGAATTAATGTAAGATATGGAATCATCTAACTGAATTTCAGGTGTTTTACACATTTGACTTATTTTCATAACAGTTAAAGGACTGCTACGCTTCCTTGTTTCAGACAATTGCACTTTTCGCAACAAACTTAATTTAGTTTTATCAGGTGTTCCCGATTTGTGTTTTAAATTTGGACTATTTTCATTGCTTTTATATTTATTACTTAATCTTTTATTATTTAAGATTCCCAGATTCCCTATATCATTATTATTTTGCGTTTCTTCAACTATATTCTGCTTTCTTTTTGCTAAAAATTCTTTAATGCCATTTGATCTTGTATTTGATCTTTGTACTGTTTTTGTTCTCACAGCTACTTTCTTTTTTGTGCGAGATTTATCAGCAGCAATTACTTGTTCCTCTTCCCATCCTCGCAAACGCAGTTGTTCTAACTTTTCAAATCGCAAATTACAATTCTCTACTTCTATATGCATCAAGTCCCAGAAACCTTGCAGATCGTTGGATGTGACTAACATTTCTCCTTTTCCAGTGGCACAGTCAGTAACTAAATTACGAAATCTTGCAAACTTTTTATTCATTAACAAGTTCGTTTGACCAATAGCTTGATTAATTTGAGATTTAGCATCTTCTGTAATCCCTGGCTCGTCTTTTATCTTTGTCCATTTATCACATAATTCGTTTTGCCTATCTATTTCTCTGTTTAAGAGAAACTCAAAGTATTGTGCTGTACGTTCTTCTCCTTCAATTGAAATATTCAGATTTTCCATAACAGACTCTTTAGTAGGAATATAGTCACTTGGTGTATGATGAAGACTAAAACCACGCTTCATTTGCTGCTCTTTTCTAGCATTGGACTTTCCACGACTGGACACTACATATGGTGACAGAAAAATTGGTTCATTAGAAGAATCTTGTGCTGACTTAGGTGTACCATTGTTAGAAGAAAGATGTGTTTCCTTAGAACTATTGTTTATTGTATCATAAGTATCTTTAATACTATTATTTATTACTTTATTACCCCTTGCAACATCATCTTCATATTTTTCATTACTTTCATTGTCACTATTACCGTCGCATAATCTGTTATTCATTTTTTTATTTTTCTTAGAGTCATTCAGTTTTTCATTCTTAGTGTCATGAAGTTCTTCACTCCCCTTGTTATTTCTCTTGGAGTCATTAACTTTTTCATTTTTCTTAGAATCGTTCAGTTTTTCATTTTTCTTGGAATCATTCATTTTTTCATTTTTCTTAGAATCATTCAGTTTTTCATTTTTCTTGGAATCGTTCATTTTTTCATTTTTCTTGGAATCGTTTAGTTTTTCATTTTTCTTGGAATCGTTCAGTTTTTCATTTTTCTTGGAATTGTTCAGTTTTTCATTTTTTTTGGAATTGTTCAGTTTTTTATTTTTCTTGGAATTGTTCAGTTTTTCATTTTTCTTGAAATCGTTCAGTTTTTTATTTTTCTTGGAATTGTTCAGTTTTTCATTTTTTTTGGAATTGTTCAGTTTTTCATTTTTCTTGGAATCGTTCAGTTTTTCATTTTTCTTGGAATCATCCAGTTTTTCATTTTTCTTGGAATCCTCATGTTTTTCTTTTTTCTTAGAATCACTTAGGTTTTCACCTCTTTTGAGATCATTCAATTTTTCATTTTTCTCACTAACATTATTGCCATTATTGTAGCTATTCTTTTTACTTCTAGTATTATATCTATTAACTGTATTAAACACTTCCTCATCATCAGAAGATAATTTCAATACAAATGGTTCGGTAGCTTCTTCTTCTGTGGTATCATCTTGCTTTTTCTCAATAGTATAAGATGTATTTAATGTTGTGTTACTTATTGGTTCTACAGAAAAGTTTGTATTTCCACTTCTTTGATTGGCTATGGAGGCTTTTGGGAAGAATAATGATTCGTTTAATACACCATTTATACTATTTGTGACCCGACCAAATAAAGGAATTTTACGCAACCCTTCTGGTGGCTTAAATTTATAATTTGCAGAAGCAAACGACTGTTCCTGTTCCTTTGGAATCTCAGGTTGTTCATTTTTCACAGATTTAGAATTTGTTACTGAATTTTTGATTATTCTGTGTAACTGTGCTCTATGCATTAATCTTTTTTCTGTAACTTTTGTAATTTTCTTCTTTTGAACCAGGGGCATCATTGGTATATTCGATTTATATACCTTCTTACTATTAGTGGTTGAAATAAGTTGTTCATCTTTTGTAATTGGAGAGTATACTTTATGATGTACGATTCCAACTACGAAAGGACGTTTCTTTTTGGCTTGCTCCAGTTTTCTCTTTCTATCACGTTCTTGTATCCATTTCCGTAGTCTTACCGAGCGACTTTCAACTGCCGGAGGTACTGCTGTTTCTAAAATGAAAATTTAATTGTGCAATAAGCAACACTGACATAAATCAGAATATATTAAATATTATCAAGTATTTCACAAACCTTCTTTCACTGATACATTCATTGTAGTGTTTGGTATATTTCTGTTTTTGTTAAAAACTTTAGTTCTTTCAGTTTTACGCCGATTTTCATCTTTATCAGCACGAATAGCTCGAGACACGTCCACGTTTGCAAACCCGAAGCGTTTGCTTTTATACTTATCTCGGAAATTCAACATTTTACACTATATAAACGTCGCGTTAACAAAACGTTGAATCAACTACCTACTACCCACTTAACGGAAACAATTTGAAATCAAACACTTCAAAATGGCGCCCAGTGTGAACAAAACTATACAAAATAACATAGAGGCGAAAGTAGCATAGCCAATCCCAATATTCAATCAACGTGATTTGTGTGAAGCTGGCTCACGATAATAACCAATATTAATGAAATATAGCTCGAAAAATGCTCTTTAATTGCCTAATTAATTGCCATTAATTAGTTTCAATTGCTCACTTATCCTTTTTGAGATGTCATGTTGCCTCATTGTATGACTGTGGTAAACATAAACTACTGATATCTACTACTTACAATTACGATAGCGCTACTATATTATATGCTCCAAATAAAAGGCGACAAGAGGGAAATTTGAATGTTAAACGTAAGGTTGAGATCGTATATACAGGATGTCCTATAATTATATTAATAGTCGGAAATTTAACCTGAGGTCATTTGAAGTAACTTGTCCTTAACAGCTCTTTTCAGGGCCATACATATTAACCCAGAGAAGTTCGTCCGTAAATACATATTATTGAATAGGTGATCAGTGTTTAATGATAGTACTGTAAAAGTGAACGTTGGAATAGTTTTCATCTAACCAATTGCTCAGCATTCCACAGACGACAATTTTATCAATAAACAAATGTATAAGATATATTATAAACAAATACAAAAAAAATTATAAACAGATGTATAAGAAACTCGTGCCGTTGTAATGTTTCATTGTTGAATGTCGTAAAAAATTATTTTTTAATTGTTCCTTATCGTTCCTAAATTAGTTTTGATTGCTACCCGTTAATTTTTAATATACAAAATATGCTACTGCCAAAACATTGTCAGCTGGTCATCTGTGGTTATCAGTTGACATTGCGATATAACCACTCACTAGAAAACAATAATGTACTTTACGACGTTACAAAATCAAGATTTTATAAATACTACATATTTAAATAAACGAATTGTTTAAAATATTAAGAAAAGTAATTGCGGAAAGTATCTTTATTTAGGTAAAGGTAAAGTATCCTAAATATTAGGAAAAGTATCCTGAGTGGAGGTAAAGTACAGTCAAGAAATTCTGTGTCATACACATTTCTTTATAAAAATAATTACCTATACAATGTTGGTTTTATAATATCACGCACTGCTATACGACATTTGTACTTTGTCTTACAAAATATTCGAAACGAATTCATTAACAGTTAACAACATGTATACGTCTCGACACCTTACAATTTCTATAAATGGTATAATAAATATGATTTGGCTTTAGTCGATACTTTATTGTAAAATTTCTTGTTAGTGATTTAAGGATGATTTAAAAAAATGTATAAAACATTATCTTTGTGTTGATAGTAGAACAGAAGCAAGACTTCAAAACTAGTTTTAAGTAACATTCAGAATAAATGTAAGACTTATCTATTTTACTGTAAATTCATTTAACGTATTTGAAAGTGGAAATACTATGTATGAATCAAATAATACAAATATTAGAAACACTCGCCACTTTTCATCGTAATAAGCTTATGCTACAGGCTCTAATTTAAATTGTGCTTAAATTAATATAATTTTATAACTATGTATTTAAGGTAGTCCGTAAAGTTTTAATGTCCTGTCCATACTAGTTGATGCTATGTACTGTGCATGCTTTCCAAAACGGACACCGGTCGCGGCTGCTGTGTGATCATTGAGCACTTTCAGTTCTTGCCATTGCTTGCACAAGTACACTCTGAAACAGAATACAAATAAGTAATAATATAATTCAATAAAAATCGAACGATCAATGGACGCGGTATTCACCTCACGTCTGTTCCAGCGACTGCTAAATATGTGCCGCTTTGATCGAAGCAAATATCTTTGACCTCATATGATTCTTCTAATTGAAGTGTCTTGAAGTTTTTCAACTTGCGTAAATCCCACAATTTCACACAAGAGTCTTCAGCAGCAGTGGCTAAGTAGTAACCGTTTTCAGAAAAACTAATTGCTGTAATTGGTCCCGAGTGGCCGGGGAAATTCGCTACGTTTGATTGTTCTTTCAAATCCCAAATCTTCACCTGTGAGTCCGCAGTACCGGTGCCGAAAATCAATCCATCGGGATGGAACTGAGCCGTAGTCAAAGGTTGACTAACTTGACCGGCGACCTAGAATAGAATAAAAAATACGTCAGAATATATTGTAGAATCTGGATGAAATTTACTAATTTTTTTATATAATATACCTTAGTTAGTAATCTGCCAGTACGAATATCTGAGAATGCCCAATGTTGGTCCAGCGAGGAACTCAACAAATAATCGCCAGTCGGATGTAAAGAGAGGCCAGTTACGGGAGCATCGTGAGCCTTCAATAACAATGTCGTTTGACTAGTGCCTACATTCCATACTCGTATTGTAGTGTCAGGCGATGCAGTCATTACTATATCTTCTTCAGGGTGATAAATTACTCTTGTAACCTGGCGATATTAAAATACAGTCCATGAGTACCAAGAGATTCTAAAGACATAGAAATACAGGAACGATTTGTATACCTTTTTGGTATGTCCTTTTAATATGGCAACTACTTGCTCCGTGTCTTTATTGAATACTGTGGCATTTTTATCAGCACCACCAGTTAAAATCTTACTGGTATCTGCACTATGAATATCTAATGCTAGTATACCAGGTACGCTGGCAGAGTGAAGACCCTTGAACAAATAAAAATTATGATAATATGCTCAGAAGCTTTCAATAAACCAAAATTGAGCAAAGAAAGTTACAGGATGTGACGCAAGTGTCTGAAAAGCGCGAATACTATCTTGCGGCATTAAATCTTCAGGGACTGAACGTCCGCGGCGTTTCCTTTCCTGTGTGAGCACTGTAGCCCTTTCTTGAAGTTTCTGTATTACATCCTCAGTAATACCAGCTTGTTCCATGGGTTGAGCTGCAGTGCCACCAGCTTCAACTGCAACTGCCTGTAATAGAACGTTTTATAATACAGGTCTTCCTACAATATAAATTCTCCCCAATTGTCTTTCAACTTGTAAATAAACACCGATTGTTAATAACTATAAAAACAAGGCACAAGGCTTGAATAATCGTATTTCCTCTTTCCAAATTGTCCACTTTTGTTTACAAGCTGAAGGATAATTAGGAAGAATTATACATAATCATAATATATGTTTTTCATACAGGTTGTGGAATGGTGGTAGCTTGCACAATTCCAGCTTGTGGTTTCAAAGTAGCCAAAGCTTCTCTTGCTGCAGTAACTTCTTTTGTCAGTCTAGCAATTACACGGCAAGCTGCATCATGTTGATACAAGGCATGAGATAATTCTTGCCTAGCTGTCTGAAGCTGCTGTCTAAGCGTAAAAGAATGTAACATCACAGCGTCCCATTCATCTTGCAGAATTTTTAATATAGCTGGGATAGATGTTGCACTTGGTGGTTTAGGCTTAACTATAGGAGTAGCTGTAAGAAAACGTAAGAAGTGAATATTAATGGAAAATAGCCTGTCCAAGATAAAGATTTAACAACATACTTTTGACATCGATAAGCTGTTCAATGGTTAATTCTTTTCCTGTTATAGGATCGACTCCATTTTCATTCACGTACTTCTCGATTAAACGCCTTTCGAATATGGAGCCCGACAAAGGTGATATGACGGGGTGCTCCGGCACTTCATTGGAAACTAAAAATTCATTTAGTTGTAGAAGACAGCGACAGCAATATGAAGCATTTTAGGTTATATTCAGTGCTTGCCGGCATCGGCCTCAATATTTATCAGAAAATACGATTCATTTCAAATCATTTGCTGTAAATTATCTACGTGAATATAACATAAATATATGGTCTGTACATCTAATTAAAAAATATTAATTAAAAGAAGAAAAGCTTACTTGCACAAGAAAGCGCCATTTTCACACATACGAGATGTACAGTAGTGCCTCACGATAATAAGCGAAGCGGGGGTAACCAACTTAAAAATATGAAGCAGGTAGAGAAAACTGATTGGTTCATGCTTCACAGCTAAACAGTGTTGCCCTCACGGCTCTAGACAAAAAGAGGAAGTGGCGAGTGAGCAAGAGAGCACGACATCAGACAACCACAAGCGAAACAAGTCACACTGATGACCAATGTAGCTTGTTTCACCTTACCATGCTCGCAGTTCTACTCTTCTCGCGCATCCGTACGCCTGGCGCTCCATCTGAACTTGGCGCGATATTCGACTTGTATTTTTCACTTCGTACGCTTCTCGTTCACATAGTCCAGCGTATTTGCGAACGTCTTGAAACGACAATCACTTCTACAGTTATTAAAATGTCCGAAAACTCGTAAGCTACATTTTAGCTAATGGTATGTAGTTTATGAATGTACAGAATTTTTTATATTCAGCCATCCCAGCACTTGTCAACTGAAATAGCCAGTAATCAATGTTCTACTTTACGAGAAGGATTTTCGAAAACAACGAATAATTTCGTAATTTTATACGATTTTTACTTTTAAAAATTTGAAAAATAAAGCTGAAAGTTGCATTCATATTGTTTTAGATAGACTACATATTCAAGTTAGTAATTATCTACATAAAAAATCTCAAACTCAGAGTTTTAAAGAATTAGAGTTAAGAATTATTGAAGATTGGAACAATTTACCGGCAAAAAAGATTAAAAAACAATATGAAACAATTCCAAAATGTCTAGTAGAAATTTTGATCCGCAATCTACAACTAAACTAGGAATATAAGGAAATGGCTGTGTTGATTGTGAGTCTGGCTTACATAAAAAATTGTATTTTATTGGGGCATCGATATTCTTACTTCTGGAGTGAATGACGAATTTTTTTGCTTGCACGAATTTGAGACCTCGAAAAGGGCCTTTATTATTAACAGTTTGACGCCAAAAACCTCAAGAGTTTTATAAAATTGAATTAAAATTGCAAAGCGAAGTTACATGACATCAGTTATCTTTTCTAGTATTTTTAAATAATTCTGTAACCCACATATGGGTGACGCGACAGTCTAGTGTTAAAATAGAGGAGCCTGTGGAACACAGGAGGTTGTTGTTGTTTTTATGGTTCGATCGCAGCCCGTAATTCTGGAATTTGAACCTCGCGCTATACTTTCACGTCCGGGCTAAATCCCACCACCAGTCTCATCTTGCGCAGATCATTACCGCGCACTTCTTGCCCCGTGTCTCGGATCTTGTGCCTTTGCAATGACAAAGCAATTCGGCCGAGAAGGCCCCCACCACCACCCGCTGAAGTGCTGGAATGGCTGAATTTAAAAAATTCTGTAGATTTATAAACTAAATACCATTTGAATATACCATACCAGCTGAAATGTAGCTTACAGGTTTTCGAAAATTTTGATAACTGTAGAAGTGATCGTCGTTTCAAGACGGTCGCAAATATGCTGGACTGTGTGGACGAGAAACGTACGGGGTGAAAAGTACAAGTCGAATATCGCGCCGAGTGTTTCAGATGGAGCATCAGGCGTAGGGATACGCGAAAAGAGTGAGACCGCAAGCACGATAAAGTGAGACGGCTTAGGTTTCTCGTCCGCGTAAATACTCACACATAGAATTCGCTGATTTTGTTCTATCTTTCTCAATCATCTCCCGTTCTCTTTCTAAAGCTACTGCGCGGACCTGGACGCGCATTAAAATGGTGGGGATAAAAATGCTTGCTATGGTGAAGCAGCATGCTTACTATAGTGAGGCATTACAGCGTTATCGGCTTTAAAACTGCGATGTTGTTGCATTAAATTCGTAGGAAAACTGTCGATGCCTGAAATGAAAGTATTAAAATTAGTTAAAACGATTTCTGCCTGCATGTCGGAGTTGTCGAAATTCGGAAATGGGTTGCTTTTTAGTGTAAACTTTTGAAGTCTAAAGCTGAAGCATACTAATTTCACTCATATACATATAATTTTATTAAATGATTATGTGATTATTTTCAATATTATACTACGAGAGTATTTTATTCTTACATCTCAGTATACACAGTTTTAGGAAATTATAAATTGGTTTATGAAATATATTTTTATTAAACTCCATGCTCTTGAATCTTTCTTTACATAAATGCAAATTACATTAAAAAGTCATTTCAAAATATAGAAATGCTTTCACTAAAACTTTTTTTTATTTAATAAACAAATAAAATACAAGCTAATGTGTTGCAGAAAATGAGAGGCTTTCTTTGAAATAATGATATAAACGAATTCGTTTTTTTTACTACTGAAACAAAATTATATGTGAAGAGACTATACTTTAGAAAATAGAGTTCAGATTCACAAAACTATTTTTCAACTGAATCATACTCTTTATATAAGTTAATGAATAAATAAAAATGTTTCTTTTTTTCATGTATTCATTTCCTTTCACAAACATTTTCTTTGTTCAAGCGAAGTCTTTGTTTCTTGTCTATTAGTTTTTGAAAAAGTGAATGAAGCGGAGTCAACATAGAAGAAATGGAATGGATTAAAACAGTAGAAACATTAAGCGACATGTTGNCGCCAAAAACCTCAAGAGTTTTATAAAATTGAATTAAAATTGCAAAGCGAAGTTACATGACATCAGTTATCTTTTCTAGTATTTTTAAATAATTCTGTAACCCACATATGGGTGACGCGACAGTCTAGTGTTAAAATAGAGGAGCCTGTGGAACACAGGAGGTTGTTGTTGTTTTTATGGTTCGATCGCAGCCCGTAATTCTGGAATTTGAACCTCGCGCTATACTTTCACGTCCGGGCTAAATCCCACCACCAGTCTCATCTTGCGCAGATCATTACCGCGCACTTCTTGCCCCGTGTCTCGGATCTTGTGCCTTTGCAATGACAAAGCAATTCGGCCGAGAAGGCCCCCACCACCACCCGCTGAAGTGCTGGAATGGCTGAATTTAAAAAATTCTGTAGATTTATAAACTAAATACCATTTGAATATACCATACCAGCTGAAATGTAGCTTACAGGTTTTCGAAAATTTTGATAACTGTAGAAGTGATCGTCGTTTCAAGACGGTCGCAAATATGCTGGACTGTGTGGACGAGAAACGTACGGGGTGAAAAGTACAAGTCGAATATCGCGCCGAGTGTTTCAGATGGAGCATCAGGCGTAGGGATACGCGAAAAGAGTGAGACCGCAAGCACGATAAAGTGAGACGGCTTAGGTTTCTCGTCCGCGTAAATACTCACACATAGAATTCGCTGATTTTGTTCTATCTTTCTCAATCATCTCCCGTTCTCTTTCTAAAGCTACTGCGCGGACCTGGACGCGCATTAAAATGGTGGGGATAAAAATGCTTGCTATGGTGAAGCAGCATGCTTACTATAGTGAGGCATTACAGCGTTATCGGCTTTAAAACTGCGATGTTGTTGCATTAAATTCGTAGGAAAACTGTCGATGCCTGAAATGAAAGTATTAAAATTAGTTAAAACGATTTCTGCCTGCATGTCGGAGTTGTCGAAATTCGGAAATGGGTTGCTTTTTAGTGTAAACTTTTGAAGTCTAAAGCTGAAGCATACTAATTTCACTCATATACATATAATTTTATTAAATGATTATGTGATTATTTTCAATATTATACTACGAGAGTATTTTATTCTTACATCTCAGTATACACAGTTTTAGGAAATTATAAATTGGTTTATGAAATATATTTTTATTAAACTCCATGCTCTTGAATCTTTCTTTACATAAATGCAAATTACATTAAAAAGTCATTTCAAAATATAGAAATGCTTTCACTAAAACTTTTTTTTATTTAATAAACAAATAAAATACAAGCTAATGTGTTGCAGAAAATGAGAGGCTTTCTTTGAAATAATGATATAAACGAATTCGTTTTTTTTACTACTGAAACAAAATTATATGTGAAGAGACTATACTTTAGAAAATAGAGTTCAGATTCACAAAACTATTTTTCAACTGAATCATACTCTTTATATAAGTTAATGAATAAATAAAAATGTTTCTTTTTTTCATGTATTCATTTCCTTTCACAAACATTTTCTTTGTTCAAGCGAAGTCTTTGTTTCTTGTCTATTAGTTTTTGAAAAAGTGAATGAAGCGGAGTCAACATAGAAGAAATGGAATGGATTAAAACAGTAGAAACATTAAGCGACATGTTG